ACACAAATTGGTTCTAACAATGATGATGTGCAATTAATCCAAATACTACAACTCCTAATCACCTTCACAGTCTCCTCCAGTCCTGAAACATGTCTGACCCAATCTGGTCCCTAAATGTGGACCACCTTTCTAGTTCATTTCTTTGTAGCCTTGGTGCAAGAGAATCTACATTGGCGCTTTCTGCCACAAATTCATCCCCATCGGATGTATTTTGCCTATCTGCCTCATATATCCCTTCTTGGGTGTACCGGTCATGCGGATCAACTCCCATTATATGGTTGTGAAGCACACAACAAGCTATCACAATCTTGACCTGCATGTCAATGTCAAAATGTTGTGTTGCATCAAGAATTGCCCAACGCTTCTTCAAAACACCAAAAGCACGTTCCACTACATTTCTCAATGATGAATGTCTGTGGTTGAAAATCTCCCGAGGGGACTCCGGCAACCGCCCTTGTATCTCATTGAAGTGGTATCTAGTGCCTTGATAAGGTGCTAAGAAGCCTGGCATGTTTCTGTATCCGGCATCTACTAAGTAGTATTTTCCTATATTTCATTGAGTGATCATTGGCAACAAGCGATTAGTTAAGACAATGGAGTCCAGTGTTCGAGTATTAGAAATGATGAAGTATCAATTTAAGTTACCTTCTGGGACGTGGAGTTTGCATTCTCTTCACAGGGAATCATATAGGATTGTGGCATCAGTGGCCGAACCCTCCCACCCAACCAATACATAATTGAATTTTAAATCGTATGTCACTGCAGCCACTACTTTTTGTGTTGTTTTCCCCTTCCTACCACGAAACGTGCCTTGCTCCTCAACAGGCACTTTGCATGGGATATGGGTCCTATCAATTGCACCTATACAGTCCTACATTTAACTAAATTATGTTAATTTCATGATCTAGGGAGGTGTTAAGGTAAAAAGTGTAGTAATCTGTTACATACCTTAAAATATGGCATAAACCGGGAGCCATTCCTAATCTCCGGTGGTACTTGTTCTCCAGTAGGTTGTATAACCAACAAAATGTACAATCTAAGTACAGCATGCAGGACTTTGTGAAAATACCGGCTTATGGTTTCTTGTGAACGCCTGAAGGTAACATGTAAGACACTATTCCTTTCATTATGCCCTATAGTGTGCAAAAACATTGCAACTTGCTCTTCGACAGACATGTTAATGGTTAGCCGAAGTCCACTATAGGTAACAAGTAAATGACAAAGGGAATCAAAACATGGCTTTCTCATCCTAATTTGAGATAAACAAGATGACTCACTACTAAATATAGTGTTAAGAAACACTCCCTTCCCTAGGCTTCTAACCTCCTGCATCGTTCAACTCGCAGATTTAGTATACTGTTTGATGATGACAACCACCGCAAGATATGTCATAATGGAACTAATGACCACACTAATCCACTTACGCTTGGCCATAGTGTCATGTGTTACCTCCATGCTTGATTGACAAGTCAAAAGAGCCCATGAGAATTATCCAATATATTTATGAAAGGAATGGGTCATTATAAAAGGAAAAAGCAATGTCTAGAGTGCTATTACAATGAAAGCACTATTTAGAGCTATAAAGTTTGCACATTCAAGTTGTAAATCTTACATCATGAGGTATTCCCCTTGTTGGATTCATGAGACCCTACCAAATTTTTTATCTATATTAAGAATTGTCAAATAAAGTTCAAAACAATTATGAACTGCAGTTTCAGGTTGAAGCTTATTAGCCACTCTAAGAGTAGCCAACTGAGTTGGCTAAAGCCGATATAAACCTTAGAATTGGTGTGGACCTGTGCAGATTGGCTTTATATAGGTTAGGGTTGGTTTCGCCCTAGTTCTATCTAATCTTTGCTGTGAGGGAAAAATTGAGTCATGCAACACTTATCCACTACATCTGATAAGTCAATGTTTATATAGAAGTCTAACCATATATGATCAACCTCTATCCTCTAGAAGTAGAGTTATTTTTCAATTTGTCGTTGATTCTTCACTTGTAAATTGTATGATGTATGCAATATGGATAGACCCATATTAGTAGGATCTCAGCCTGTACCCTAAGAATAACCCTATTAAAAAAGACACAATCACAAACAGCACAGTAGGTCCCCTAAGAATAACCCTATTAAAAAATTGGATCTACCACAACTAGCTTCAGTAGTAAGGAATTTTTACAAAGATAAAACCAGAGGCAAATGGGGAGTTCAATTTAATCTGTGTCTTGCTTCCAGCTTGGCCTGAGAAGCAGGAAAACTGCAGACTGTGTCTTGGACCTAGTTTGGTTCATTACCAAGCTATCAAATTCAAGTATCATAGAATTTAATTTTTTCGGTTATTGCTATCATGGATATTATTATATTTTCAGTATTCAAGTGAAGGTGCCAACAGTTACCTGGGTACTAGTGGGCCATTACTTTAGGTCCTTCAATCCTAAAATCTTCAAGATATAGATATCTTGGGACATATCTGTGTTGGGACATATCTATGTTGGGACCTTAATTTTTTGGGACATATCTATGTAATGTTCCAACAAACAACAAGAATTGGCTCTATCCATGCCTCCCCTAGCCAAATTGGCAGCAAGTGGAACAAGATGTTTACATCAGCAGCTACTCTAAACCTCCCCTTCCTTGATACTTCACCTTCATACACTAGATTCAAACATCAAAATCATATGAAGATAGAAAGGGACTTTTCTGATGCAATGGACTGGTATTAAAAATGCATCTTATTTGGTAGGGGCTAGCCTGTCTAGCTTTATAAAAATGCATCAGTTTTTCTGTCAAGGATGTTAAGGAAGAAGAAAAGAGTAAATTGGTTGGTAATGTTTTCAGTAGTGTTGCTCCAAACTATGATTTGATGAATGATTTAAGGAGTGTTGGATTACATAGATTGTGGAAAGATAGGTTAGATCCTTTATGAAGACCTAGATATGCATCATAAGTCCTTAATTTATAGTGGTGTATCCATTAGTTTGTTTGCATATTTTTATATTTCTTTCTTAATTTTTTTTCCAGGTTGGTTTCCAAACTCAGTCCATTTCCTGGAATGGAATGGACTAGATGTTGCTTGTGGGACAGGTTAGCTTTGTGCAGCCATTTTGGTAGACAAATTAAAAGATTTATACAAAGGCTATAAAGAACATGTAGAGGAAAAAACTATTCTTTAGGTTGTAGTGAAACAAAACATTGAACAAATTCTCAATTACCTTCCTAAAGTAATTCATGGGTTGTAGTTCTGTTAATGTGCTTAGATAAAACTTGAACAAATTCTCAATAACCCAGTGTTGTTAATATGCTTAGATAAAACTTGAACAATTTCTCAATAACCCAGTGTTGCTAATGTGCTTAGATAAAACTTGATGCATTGTCATCCCAAATATCTAATTTATCATTGGCCCAAACTTTTCAATTTAATTTGGAAATAATTGGGTGCAGGGAACCATGAGTAAAGTTGCATGAACCAATTAAATATTGCTTTATTTTCAGGATAAGCCAATTTAATATTGCATTATTTTGAACATTCAATCTCTCCCTTCAATCCCTCAAAGGATGCATGGCATTAGAGCCTAATACCCTGGTTTGTCCACCAAATGAAGCCATCAGTTTGGAGATGTAGATCCTAATTGCCAGGTTCATGGTTTGTACTTAGTTTCGTAATCTTTTATGTCACAAAAATTAGAGCAAGGAAAAAGAAAGGCCCCATAGGGGTCTTTGACTAGTTGTAGCAGAGACTGGATCAAATCCCATTGCCATCAGGTTGGATGTTGTGGGTATGGGAGATAGGTTACCCCTGTTGTGTATCCTCATGAAACCAAATAAATAAATAAATACAAATATAAAAAGATATTTTCAGAAGATAAGAGAAAAGATGAAAACTATTGAACACTTGAACTGATTGAATAAAATAAAATAAACAGAGAGAAAAGTCACATTGCATCATCGAATGCAAGACATCAATAAATCCACCACCAACGAAAATTCAACTAACTTGCTTCAAAACACAAAAATTCAACTAACTATGAAAGCAAAACAAATAGAAAGAAAAATCAGGGTCATAAACATATTGAACAATCCTACTAAAAGAAACCCAACTAGAGTCTCTCTCTAGTCTTCATTTCTTCACAGAGCGTCCTCTTATCTCTCCAAATTTGGTTTCATTTGGTTTCTTTTTGTGCTATATATATGCAATTTATAATTCATAGCTTTGTTAATGAAGATATCACATATTCAAAGGCAAATATCATACATATACCTTCAAAGGAAAATATCACATATTCAAGAAGATACTTCCATCAAACAAGAATGATAACATAAAAAATGATTAATTAGGAAGCCGAGTAACAAAGAAGAAGAATTTCACCATGCACGTACTTGATTGTTGAAGACAGAGCGAAAGATGTGTAAACTTGGCTAGGTCTGAGAAAGAATCAACAAAAAATGATGAAAAGCTTTATTAGTCGAAGCAAAATACCAGATCCGTGAAGCTCAAGATAGATCTAACATTACCTTGTGTAGATCGAAGTGAAGATCTTCAACCTCCTATCAGATTGGCAGGAACCCCGCAACCAAACGACATGAAAAATGAACATAGCAAAACACAAGTCAGAAAAAAACACAAGATACTGATCGCCGACCACCGGCGACCATGCCTTGGTCGGAGATGGAGGTGAGAAAGTACCGTTAGAAGGCGGTGGGGAGGGGGGCGATGGCACAGCAGATCTCCTCTCACCTAAAACGGCTATTTTTCTCACACAGTTGAAAGCAAATGCATACCCTAATTACATCGTCGAGCGAAGAGAGCAAGATTGCATCAAAAAAATCGATGCAGTAATGCACTCTTCAATCGATACATTCATGTCAGAAAATATAGTTTTACACTCATTTTCGATACATATATGTATCGCAAACAAATGTGAACCGGAGTACATAAATACCCCGGTTCGACGTTTGTATCGCAAACAAACGCAGCCTAAGGATCTAAGAAGAGAGAGAGAGAGAGAGAGAGATTGATGGAGCGAGGAGCTTGCTAGGCCTCTTGATGGGGCAATTTTTTATTGGAGGGTCCATGTAAAAGTGGACCCAAGGGTGAACTAGTGCTATGACTTCACTAAAGGTTAAAAGTGAACCAGTGATAAAAGTGAAATGTCCACGTATAAAAAAGGCGAATCAGTGAAAAAGTGAAAATGAAAAAGTACTTCTGTAAGGAGATAATAGGTAACTTTGAGAATGACTTTCCGGGAACACCAGTTCACTAGTATAGCCATATTAGAAGTAGAGATTTGTACATTAATGAGCAAAAATGTTGTCAGAAGCCAATATCAGCGAGAACTTGAAATAAGAAGTCCCACTCCACTTTTAACCTTGGATAAGCTAACTCTCCCTTATTTCACACAGGTGGTTTTCAATGCTAAAATGAAGTAGAAAAGCCAGTTTTTTAGTCTACGTCCAATGGGTACAACAAAGTGGGCAATCTCTATTGGAGACGTTTCACAGTATTAGGTCATTGGAGGATAAACTGGTTATAAAAAATATGAAGCTTTTAAGATCGGAAGTTGATTGAGCTTGACCTAACAATATCCTCAACAATAAAAGATTTTATTCCACTGCCATGGGCAAAATGCTTGATGAAAATCATGGTTTTAAAAACTGATTGGGAAATGAAACTACTTTGGTCACCGGTTCTTAGATCAAATGGTCCAATCATTCAGTCCAAACTGTAGTTTAGACGGTTTTGAAGTCCAAAGTCAGATCCAGAGCCATGATTGATTCTCAAGTCAATCAGTTCAATCGTCTGATCTGATCCCATTTTCAAAATTATAATAAAAATATCTACCAAAAAAAAAGCTTGAAGAGAACAGCTTGCAAAGAACAACTTTTTCAAATTGAGAAAAAAAAAACTTGGATGAAAGAGCACTTCATCATAGTATCAAATGACTCTTCCGTGTCTTGATACCACAGAAGAGAAAGGTGGAGAAAGAAGAAGACAGTGAACAAAAAAAATTTGTAGTACGAAAATTTGATTAAAAACCGTTTATCTCCCTACTCTAATTCTTCTTTTTTAATGCCAAATTATGGTGGTTTTAAAAGAAATGCTTTAAAGTCTTAATGAAATTTTAAATAATTTCATAAATTGAAACACCACAGTGGCATTTTTTGAGATTTTAAAGCCAATCAAATCAAACTTGAAAAAAAAAAGAATAACTGATGGTGGCTCAGTTGGTAGGACTTCTGACTTGTTGAGACCTGGGATCAAATCTCAACAAGAGTTAAGAAGATGGGGATGAATTAGCGCCACTTGTGTAATGAAGCCGAGAAAAAAAAAAGAAAAAAAACTTGAAAAATATAGGGAAAATGACTGGTTAGTCCAGTTCAGAATTCTTTCACCCCACCGGAGAATGAATCCTGACCATGAATTGATGTCAAATTCATAGGTAGGATGCAATTTATAAGGGGGCTACTAATAGACTATGGAAGGCTGTAATTCAGAATTCTTCATTGGGCTGCAATATACTTAACCCAAAAATATAATACTAAAACAAGAGTGGCTGAGCGTGTGGCTTGGCAAACTGAGTTCTCAAATCACTTTTAGAGAAAATTGCTATGTGTACGATCCACTGCTGCTACACATAGGATTAATTTACCAATGTAACAAATACTGGTGTGTTCAATCGTGATTGGTTAGGAAACCTCCGATACACAGCAGAAACCAGAGTTCACATCTCCACCCCACAACGCCCTACAACACATCTCCGCCATGTATTGAAAATATCTCCCAATAATAGTACCAGTCCCAATGATATCATCATCAGGAGATGCTCCCAATACACGGCAAAAATATGCTGTGGGACAGCTCCTTGTGGGGCGGAGATGTGATCTTACTCAAGAGATGGATGAAAGTGATTATCAGCTAGCAAGTTCATACGACTATTTCCATTCCACTCCAGATCTGCTACACATATTCCCAATGCGTAGCTGTAATGTCCCATGGGTAGGGATTTAGGAACAACTTGTGGGTAGCACTATCACAGATCCAAGCCCCATTCACCTTGACAGGATCTGCTCCTTATAAATGGGCGCCTCACAGGTACATCCACCATGCATTGAGAATATTTCCCGTGAATAATAACTAATAAGTATGGGAGATGTTCTCAATGCATGATCGGATGTGCGTGTGAGGCGAGAAGTGTGAGGAGCATATCCAGTCTCCCATTCACCGGGCTTGAGAACTGTCAATATAGGACAAGTCACACGGACAAAATTAGTTTTCGAATTACCGATATATGTATCCTATGTATTGTTGTATGTCTCAAATTTTCCACTGTATCCATGTATTTCCAAATCATATTGGGATACTCTTCGCAATACTAATACTTTGAACCTTGCCTTACACTTGATTTTTTTTTTCTTTTTTTCCCCGAAAAGGGAAGAAAAAGTGCTCTTCACCCAATATAGCAGCTACATTCAATCATCAGGTTTAAAACAGATGAAGCAATTTCAAGCTTAGATTTTAAAAACAACTTACAAGAACTATGATGCGTTAACAATGTCAAAAACAACTTACAGTAACTATGATGCATTAACATAAACTAAGTGCAAAACTCATCTGGAAATTTACATGCTTTATTTCACATGTACAATGAAAATCCTGCAATTTTTGTCTGCAGTTGTTTGAGATTTATGCTGCAAGGAGTTTCTGAATGTCCTTCTGCAACAAAATATGATCAGATATAGAAATGAGAACAACAGAAAATTCTTTAGGAAAATATAATAGCTTATATGACACTAGAAGCCTTGGTTCATCCCGGTAACCATGACAATACAAGTGTCCTATTTGGTTCATTTCTATCTATACTGAGTAAGAGCTCTAATAATCCATGGGTACCGTCAACCATCTCCCATATTTCATTTAGATTTGAAGAAAACTTCAGGAAACAGCTAATGACCAAGAAATCATAAAATTCAACAAGGATGACGATGAACAAAGCATACCTCAATCTGGAAAGGTGAGGTTGTTGGTGGGTATCTCTCTACAACCTTTCCATTTCCATCCACCAAGAACTTCTCAAAGTTCCACTTAATTAGGTCACCTAAGAATCCTCCTGCACTTGACTTGAGAAACTGGTATACTGGAGCTGTATTTGGTCCATTCACATCAATCTGTCATGAATAGCCTTCAGTACTTGATTTATCCTTGTGCACAGAGTGGCAGGCAATTTGTCTGTTCATGTAGTGTGAGTGTATTGTAGGTGCATATGCATGTACATATATGCGTGAGGGGGAAAGAAAACTGACTCACCTTATCAAAAATAGGAAATTCAGCTTTAAACCTTGAACAAGCAAATTGCTTTATATCTGCATTTGACCCAGGCTCTTGACCACCAAATTGATTGCAGGGGAAAGCTAGAATCTCAAAACCTGTAATCAAATAAACAATGTTCATTTAGCTTAAAAGTTTCTAGACCTATTTCATTTATCTTTTTTATATGAAACGTAAAGAACCATTTTATAAAATATTTGTCCTTTTTAACTTGCTTTGGGATAATAGCATATAAGGGAAATTTTTGGGCCCTAATATCAATAAAAGTAATAATTTTAAAAAAAATTCAAAAATAGGTTAACTTTTTAAAAATAATATCAATTAATGGCAAAATCACTGTTCATCTTCTTCTTCTTGCAATCTGTTCACCAGCGCTGCCGCCCGCCGCCGTCTGCTGCCGCCTCCAGCAACGCCTCCGCCTATCTCCGCCCACCTCCGCCTCCGCCTCCGCCTCCAGCAACGTTTCCGGAAGTGGGCGGAGGCAGAGGCGGCAGCAGCGTTGGTGGTCATTCCTCTACCCAACGCCGCCACCTCCGCCTCCAGTAATGGTGCCAGAGGTAGGTGGAGACAGAGGTGGCAGTGGACAGCGAAAGTGGCAGCATTGGGCAGAGGAATGGCCACCAGGCCGCCGCCGCCGGAGGCGGTGACGAGAGGCGGCGGACTGCAGTGAACGGTGGTGGCCAGCGGCGTTGGTGAACAGATTGCAAGAAGAAGAAGATAAACAGTGATTTTGCCCGTAATTGATATTATTTTTAAAAAGTTAATCTATTTTTGAAATTTTTTTAAAACTATTACTTTTATTGATATTAGGGCCCAGAAGTTGCCCTTATATGCTATTATCCCTTTATTTTTCATTCATAGTCAATATTAAGAGTCAACTAAAGAAAAAATGGAAGATAGTAACTATTGAATACATCTAGTAACAGGTGAAAAGATGTTTGTGTGTGTATGTCTGTGTCTGTGTCTGTGTCTGTGTTTGTGTCTGTGTTTGCAAGTGTGCATGCTAGTAGTAATAATATTTTTCTTTTTGATGATTAACAACAACAATTTCATTGAGAAACTTATTTCTACCCTTAATAGCACCCTTCCCTTACAATTGTGCCCAGAAAAGAACTTGTTGTCCTACCCCTTGTTTGGCTAGTGTATCAGCAAAGGAATTAACCCTACACTTACACCAGCTGAAGGGTACTTCAATGTCCCTAGGAATTAACCCTACATTCATTGTTGTAGATCCACATCTTCATCTCATCACTATGAAGCCAATTTACAATCAATTGTGAATCCCCTTCAACTATTAGCTTCCTAATGTTCAAAGACCTCTTTCCCTTCGAACTCCTTCCATCATTGCCAAAACCTCTGCTCTGAGAGAATCTCCCCCCCACCCCCACCCACCGGGCCTGAATATAAAGCAATTATTCTCCCCTCCCCATCCCTAAATACACCTCTAATTCCTGATGTCCTGGGTTTCCCTATGCCACTACCATCGAAGTTAAAGTTTGACAAATCTTGTTTCTGGTGGAGACCAAGGATGAGTAGTAACAGACTTGTATGGAACAGAATTCACCACTTCTTTCCATTTTCCAAGAATATCAACTATAGCAACATTATAAAAGATTTCTAGAGACTTGAGCCATGAGCCACCCTAATCATTATTCTTTCAATCAAGCCTTCCTTGCTTCTTTCCTTCTCCAATAATACATTTACACAAGAAAATTACAAGTCGAATCCCGGCCCTAGTAATCCACACTCTAGGAAACCATGCTGCATCAACTTCACTAGATACATAAAGTTCTGGCATTAAACAAATGTAATATCCAAATATTTACTGGCTTAGAGTGCAGACACTTATAAATATTCTTATTCTCCTACTTACTAATATCCATGTCATGATAAACTCAATGTAAATTATGGGTCATATCTTTTCTTACAGCAAGCCTTTAGATTATTAGAAAAATAAGGAAAGATGATTGGATTATAACACTTCATATTTAATACCTTTTATCTACATTCGATAAATTCATGAATGGATGAGATGGGGGGGCATTCTAGCAGGTCATAGATACTGATTAATTTTATTAGAGAGACCATATCTTTGGCATTAAATATTTAAATTTAAATACCTTTTCTTAAACGTCTAATTTGAATTAGTTGTTAAAAAGCTCACTAAAGTTCTGGGGTGCTTGCTACAGGCACTATTCTCAGGGAGTTGTGTTGGGTGAATTTCCTTATACAGTACTTGTTTCCTGTAAACATTGTAGATATGGGTCTTTTCCTGTATGTTTGGCCAATTCAAATTTTCATTATTTGCTAGCCTTGGCTTCCCCTTCCATTTTTCTTTTCCTTGTTCAGGGTATAGAGCATTTTCTTTCCTTTTTCCATTGAAGCTGCTTGTTATCCAAGAAAAAAATAAATATGTTAGGCAATAATCACTAATACAAATGTCTAAACAGCAACTGAGGCTGTGATACTACTACACCATAGATTTTTTGGGCAGTAACGATGTGTCTGTATTATGTATTTGTGAAAATGGTTCCAAAACCACATGAAGAAGCGAAGTTCACATAATGAAATCATCCATTAGAAAAGGGGGTTAAATCAGATAAAGATAGGGCAAAGTATATTTTAAGGTTGGACCTTGAGCATCACATCTAGAAGAAGAAAGAACCCAGCTTCACAATGGAGAGCTTAAATAGCACTTGTAGAGAGAGGAAAAGCATCAGACCTTGAATTGGAGTTGGCAAGTAACTTTTCAGTTATTCATCTCTAATCAATAGATTCAAAACACCTAAACACTTTACAAATAAGGCTCCATTCAGTTGCAGTGCAAATTTTACTTGCAGTTGTAGAAATGCATAGGAGTGCAAATGGACTAATTGTAAATCCTGGTTTACTTTTACATCAGATTTGACCTTGTTTTGTTTGTTTGTAAGGCTCAGTTTGAAGGAGTACAAATACAAATATGTACAGTACATATACATACAAAATAATACAAAATACAAGATTTTTCATTCTACATATTTGTATTTGTACTCATTCCAAACTGAGCCTAAGAAGTAAAATATGAAGCAAAATGTAGTCCCCAATTTATATGAAAGAGAAATGAGGTGGGAGAAGGGTTATTCATTTGAAGCGAGTAAGGTAGGGAGTAAATTGATGTGGTCCCCACTTTATATCAGAAAGAATTAAGGTAGGAGGAAATGGGGAAAATTTTTATCAGTTCTTCACATGCAAAAATTTGCACTGCAAATGGATGTAAATGAGACAAAAGTGAAATTTTTGCATCAGGTAAGAGTGCAAATCATAGCCACAAATGAACAGATGCAAAATATTTATCCAGTTCAGATTTGCATTGCAAACAAACACAGCCTAAAGAAATTGGGAAAAAAATAAGACAAGGAAGTGACACCTTCAGAATGCCAAAACTTGGTCATGAGAAAGTAATGGGATGTTCACATTCTACCATAAGTCTTGATCCCATAATTTACATCTTTTGGAGTTTTGGTAGAGTATGCACTTGGTTGCTTCAATTTGCGTCCTATTCACCACATTTCATGTCAATATAATTATATGCCCATATTCTATAATTCCTTTGGAAGTAATGTCAATACCAAAGCACAGGCAGAACACTACACAATCCTTTAAGCACCAATGCACTAATTGAGGCAAACATACAAAGAAAAATCATGGTTAGACATTCTCAAAATTTAACAGTTCAGATTACCTTGGGTTTTGTACTTCTCATAAATGTGGGACAGCTCAGTGTAATTTGATGAAGTTAGACCACTGAGATTCAAAATGAAAACCTTCAGTATGGATACCAACCCTCTTCAATTCACAAATGAACTTATTATGAAGAAAAATGAACAGAAAAGAGGAATAAAACTACTTAAATAAAAATAAGAATTCTATGGGCAAAACAAATGTAAAGGAGGGATTACCATTTTGAAGCAACATTAACAATCAAAAGAACTTTCCCTTTCAATTTGTTCAGAGAAAAATCCTTCCCTTCAATATCCTGCACCAAAATAGTTGATATTTCAACATGAAACAACTTCTTTGATATCCCCCGTTGTGTAGCCCCTTGGAGCAAAAAAACAAAAGTACTACACTGCTATAGTAAACTTCTCTTTTTCTTACCAATCAAAAAGAAACAGCTCCTTTTTCTTATTTTCAAGAACTAAGTTAATTTACCAGTTGATAACAAAATTAAATTGGGTTTCAGTAATAAATGCTCTAAGAAATCTAATTAGCAAATTACAATGGACGAATGGCCAAAGCATTCTTATATTTGGTCGCAGAATCAGAATCTTTACCTGTATTATCGAATAATAATTCTGACAATCAAAATTAATAAACCCACAAAAGATGCAAAGGATGACCAAACTGCCTGTAATAACAAATTATTTAATCGCAGATATTCTTTCAGACCAATCAGACCCATTTAAGAACACGTAATTTATAATTTTTTAAACAAGAATTTAGAAAAAAGAAAAAGAAATGCTATGAAAAAAAGAAAAAAAAAAAAGCGGAGTTCACCTTCACAGTAAAATCATGGATGCTCTTTTCCGTCGCCGCTCTTGCATACACAATACCTGCCTTTCTCGAAGATTTCAAGAGCGTACCAGGAAATTCTGAGGATTGAACGGGGAGCCCGTGGTGTAAAAGGGTTGATTTAGAGAACCCAGTTGGGGTTCTGCTGGAGAGGTTGACAAAAACCATAGCCGGGGAGGATGCCCATGACGGGTTTGCGTTGGTCTGACTGAAACCCTGTAAAGGTGCTGTGACAGAGAAAATGGTGGACAAGCCCATAGAAGCCATTTCTCTGGAATTGGAATTGAGGAATTGCAGAGAATCAGAGAGATTATATTAGGGTTCTCAGTGTCTCTAGAGGGTGGATTTGGGAGTGGAAGCCATGGATCCACGTGGTCATGTTGAGAACTGTGGTGTGCCACTGTGCAACTTTGGCAATTGCACAGCCACATTTGCACTTCTCTTTGGTGTTGCCGTGTTGGGAGATCCGAATTCGTTGGAGAGAGCCGGTCGGACCACATACATGACTCAGGTGGTTTGACCGGATAGAACCATAAAAACTGCAATTTGCCCTGGTTTGTTGCCTTGAATCTTGTTGGGTCAAGCTGGCCGGCCAGTCTGTGTCAGACCGAGCCAACCAGAATCTAGAGCGTGTGGTTCTAACCAACCCAAGTCAAACTGTGAACGGGCCAACTAGGCTCCTAGAGACTGGATCTTCTACCAATTAAAAACGCTTCCAACGCATTCAAACATGATCCGATACTAAAGAAAAAGATTTTCTGCAACCGTTGGTCGCATGCGACAAATATTGATGTGAAACTCACACCTTTTGTACTATTGGCGCTGGCGCATAAAATTTTCTACACCAAACCAATAACAGTCTGTCATGCCAATCTATCCTTCCCATTTGAAAATTAAAATAAAAATAAACAAAAAATGGGTCTTGACTCTTGAGATTATACAACTGTGCAATGTGACTTGTTGACACCACACATTTTAGACATGGTCTAAGGGTGAGATGTGCAGTGTTAAATCACCTTGCAAGTTGGAACATGTTGTGGTTGCAGGAAATGCGTATCTCCTAATACCACACATTTTCAGGGGGAAATTTATGATGCCGGAATTTCAAAATATTGGAAAGGTGCTCTCTGATCAACAACTGCCATTGAATTTTGGTGAAAATTTGATTCCTACTTTTGATTAATTGTAATTTTCAAGTGTGATGACTTTTTGATTCCTACTTTTGATCCACTTTCATCGCCTTTCACCTTGAGATAAGAATATGGTGGCAGCAACTAGATCTCATTTTCTCGTCCCCTTTGTTGTTTTCTCTTTTCCTCTTCTCTCTCGTTCTTCCTTTTTCTTTCTCTTTACCTATTGTTCATCGTCTTCTCGATGAGAACAGAGAACTCACAGCAATGGTATTCTCTCGGCATAGGAGATCCGAACTGAGATTGGTGACACGTCTAAGAACGTTCGTTAAAATTGAAAGTTCAAAGATTTGTGAAGGATATGAACAAAACCAGATAGAGGAGAATATCTAGAACTCGTCGTGTAGATGATGTAGTTGACCCTTTTAGTCTTTTTTCTTCACAACCCGCATGCCACACCAAAGAAATGCAGAGGATAATGACAAAAGGGACGTAAAGAAACGAGAGAAGATAAGTGAAAAAGAAGCAAAAAAAGAAAAAAATGTTGCAAGTTGGCTCGGGATTTACTTAAGTTATGCTCTGCCCGATGTTAGATGCTGCAACAGAGGAGACTTCATTGTTCTCCAAGGTGCACATTCCAATGCTGAATACATAATGCCTTGCAATCGAGAGATAGATGGGATGACAATATTCATCGTTCAAAGTTGAGCGGAGTGTGATTTCAGTCGGGAAAAGCTATTGCCAGTGCTACTCAACCAATAGAAGAAGTAGGGCAGCAAAGCATTGGAGGATAACTGTGGGAACTTGAAAACAATAAAGAAAAAAGCAACAACTATGAGGGAAGGCAAAGTGTATGCTAAAAATAAGTAAGCACGACAAGAGAATACCATTGTTGTGAGTTCTCTATTCTTGTCAAGAAGACGATGAACAATAGCTAAAGAGAAAGAAAAAGGTAGAGCAGGAGTGAAGAGGGAGGGAGAGAGAGAAAGACAGAGGGGATGAGAGAAGGGAGGGACTCTGGAGGGAAATGAGCTCTAGTCGCCACCGCTATGTTCTCACCTCAAGGTGGAAGGCAATGAAAGTGAATTCTCACATGGAAATTGTTTCACCTAATAAGAGGTCACACGAAGATAGGACAACCGTCACCATGTCATTTAGTAGGAAAGGGCAGTAGAATGTGGTTAATAGGAAATCCAGACTCTCCCAGAACACCTATAAAGAAGTGTATCAAGACCCCAATGATACAACGATACACTCCGTATCGTATCAAAATTTTGAACCTTGGGTGAATCTAGTCTCATTGTGAGATGTGTAGGTTTCTTGTTAGAACCAGATCTGGTTTCATCTATTTGTTAGCCTTTGGAATTTGGACCAAATTGTAGTCCACTTGTCTTGGATGACTCCCTATGTTGAGTTCACACCAGTACCCCACAAGGGGTTGCCCACACAACGTCCCACAGCACATCCCCGCCATGTATTGGGAACATCTCCCAATGATGACATCATCGGTTCTGATATTATCATCGGGAGATGCTCCCAATACACAGCGGGATGTGCTGTGGGACGTTGTGGGTCGCCCCCATGTGGGGTGCAGATCTGAACTCCCCTATGTTGGGCATGTGAACGAACATGATAAGGTGATAAAAGGAATGCAGGTATTTGTTAGATTTAACCTGCTTTTCTTTGTAATTTATGGTAAGATTTTCATGAAATACTAGAATTAGGATTTGCTCCTCACAGAACATGCCTCACACAGACAGTTGCAACGTTTTGTGAGGAGTGAATCGAATTCAAATTACTGGATGATTTATGGAAGTTGTATGATTTTTAAAATAAAAACTTTATAGTGTAGTGGTTTTTCAAATAAAAACAAACTTTATAGTGAAGAAGATGTATGATTTATGGAAGATGATATTAAATGGCCACATGAAAACATGTTTTTGAAACCAAACATTCAAGAACATGTTTTTGGTTACAATTTTGAAAACAAAAAATATATAGACAACCAATAACATGTTTTTTGTGCTTTTTGTTTTGAGAAATAATCTCTTGCCAAACCAGATTGTTTAAATTTGTTTTTGAAACCAACAACAAGAAAAACATGAATGTTTTTGTTTTCATTTGTTTTGGAACTGCCACATCAACAAAAGAAAAACAAAAAAAAACATATTCTTGAACTTTGTTTTTGTTTTCAAAAGGAAAAACAAGTTGATTTTATTTCAAAAAACAATATTTGTTTTTTTAGAACCATCAAAATAATGGTTTTTAAAAAAGAAAACAAATTTTCAAGTATAGAAATTATATGGTTAATGTAATTTGAATTTAAATAACAAGGTGAAAACATGTTTTTGAAACTAGGAATTCAAGAACATGCTTTTTGTGTTTTTGTTTGAGAAACAATCTATTTTCAAACTAGATTGTTTAATTTTTGATTTGTTTTTGGAACCAACTACAAGAAAAACAATTCACATTATTTTGATTTGTTTTTGTTTTGAGAAACACCGGTTATAGACTTGTATCTACCCTCGTAATCATCTTTCCTAGATTAGGATATGATTAGGACCCACTAGTGGGTCCCACCCTGAAGATGATGCAATGAATCAAAAGGTCTTAAGACATCTAATCATGGTGATTTTTGGTACTCTCTCTCCCTCTCTCTTTCCGTCTTTTTGTGGTAAATAATGGGGTACCCTATTGCCAAAGATTAAAATACTGACACTCGGGAAATGCATACATCTTTAACTACTAAGCCATCTTTGACTTCATGACAATAACTGAAATAAATCAACTTTTATTAACATTAATGTCTTCATGCAATCAAACATACAATTATATTCAACAATTTCAACTACAAATTAAAAAAATAATATTTAAAATTAGTATTTTATAAATCGATGGAATAAATAATTTATCAAATTCACATATATATCAAAAAATGATTTTTAGTTTCAAAAAAAATATACAAATAAAAAATTATTTTAATACTTAAAATTTATAAATTTGCACATGATATGTATCTTAAAATTTTTATAAATTATTAATTAATATTTCATTTGCATTAAATAACATTGTATTTATTATTTACAAAGATAAAAATATCGTTTACAAAATATTTGAGAATATAATAGAAATTGAATCTATCAAATCCACTAATCTACATTTGTATAAAAATATATTTTTTTATTTTAGAACATTTATAAAAATAAAAATACTAATAATGGAATAATTATTTTAGTAATTTAAATTTATGAATTTCCATATGATATGCATCTTCAAAATTTTAATAGGTTTGATATTTTAAGTTAAGATTATTTATTTTAATAAATTATTATTTGATATTTTAATTTACATTTTATAATAACATATTTATTGTTTAAAATAATAAAAATATTGTTTACCAAACATTTGAGAATTAATTTTTTAGTTGATTTTTTGTTAATGTTAAAATTAAAAATAACAAAATAGAAAAAATGATATAATAATTCAAATATAATAGTTGCATATGTTTTGTGCCTTGGACTTTAATAGAAAATGAAATGATAATGGTTTTGTACATGTATTAATTTGTAAAATCATATAATATGTGTCTTGTAATCTTGATTGATGCATTATCAATAAAATTGTATATTATGTATGCACCCCGCTATATTAATTGTAACATAGTTTCTTCATATATACCATTAAAATATACAATTACTATATATTTATACTTTATTTATAGTTATTTTAACATTAAACTTATTGGTAATAACATATTTATGGAATTTGTATACATTACCGTATCCAAGCGTTTCCATAACCCCAACCTTAGTGACATTAGGATATGATCCCAACTCTCCACTACAACCAACTAGAGACTTTACCAGTTGAGTTAGTTGGCATTGTCAAATTAGTATGATTGCTCCTACATTCCCAAATTTGAACCAACTCCTTAACCTCTTTAACAGTGTTTGATACAGTTGTATTTTTGCCATTGTTGATTCACCATAATTAGCAACACAACTCTACAAGCATCATATAACTTTTCCACACCAAGAGCACACATCCTCACTATTTCCACACAACCCAAAAAAGAAAAATACAAAAAGTAGACTCATCACAAAGCAAACCAAGAAGAAAAAACTCTAACCTATAAATAGGACAAAAAGTCTCATGCAATCTTCATGAAAGATGGAGCGAAGCTCACAAGTAAGATCATGAGAGGAAATATGGAAGTTTCCTTCAGCAACATTCCTATTAACAAGTGAATTTGTGCAGCAGTTGCTTTTCTCCTAGAGCTGATGCTCATGGAAGCACTTAATCTTTTGATATCTCTTAGAATATAAGTGACTCTCTAAGGGATGAAAGTATTCATAAGGAGAATATCAATTAAACACTTATTATCACTCTCAATTTCCACCTCCAAATGCTTTGAGTATAGCACAAATGGAGGCCATTCAAAAGAGCCAAGCACTCAGCCAAGAGAAAATTGCTTTTGCCATAGAAGCTATGAAAAAAAAAAGTAAAAACTTACTCCACTTTGTTTCTTATATATTGCTTCATTTGAAGTGTGATCACCAATAAAATTGACAATGATGCTTCAACATTTTTTTTTTCAAACATGTTTGATAGAAAAATACATATTGATAAGACATTTAGTTTTATGCTTTGTTAAAAAGTTGAGCTATAACATAATGCAAAAATGAATACTTGCAATAGATTAAATCTCAATATCAACCAATCACATTAGAAATGTTATATGTTTACTTACCCTTTCATTGTTCATGTCCCATAGGGTGTATTTACCAATTGCATTAAAGACTTTAACAATGTTAAAGATGTCAATTTTGATGTCTCACTTTATGAATGGTCCAGGTCCATGTTTTTGCTTTATCATATAGTTTCTATACTATAGATTTTGCCTAGATAAAAAAGTTTTATTGTAACCAAAATAGGAGAACTAAGAAGAAAAAGTTAATGTTCTTCTCCATTTTTTTCATTTGCCTCGTCATCCCCCCTCCATATCTCCTACACTATTTTTCTCAAACTCTTTTTCGCATTTCTGTTCAAACTATGACAAGTGTCCCCTTGTATGTGTGTAATTACCCATACACATGAAAATATGACTTAAATGAAGAACATATATGAGAATACAAATGTGAGATGCTTTTCATAGATAAAAATGAAGTTTAGGAGATCCATATCCATCATCCTTCATGGTAGAAATGTAAAATTGATGATTCTATAATTGGCTTAAGGGAATCTAGGATAGTGTTTTCAACCCATCATCCATAAATCGTTTGAATCTTCATTTGACCTTAATTTTGGATTCGGTTCTATTGAAATCTGCCCTTTGGTAAAAAATGTTGACTTTGTTAAAAAAAGTCCAGTCCAAGTAATTCAACCATTGACACATTCAACCTGATCATTGGGTTGCGGGTTGCATATTTAATGTATATACAAACTTTCGAAGGCCATAACTTTGCACACCAATGTCCAACTGGGGTGATTTTTTTTTTGTGTGTGTATAACGGTCTGACCTGTTCGACCTGAACGATCAAACTAGTGACTTGCGACCCAGAGGCAAAAAGGGTCGGCCTCTAAGTCAAGTTTTAAAACATTGATCTAGGATACCATGTTGGGTTGTTTTTTATTAAAAAAATTGCTACAATTTGGGTGTGAACAAATCAAAAAAGAGTATGATTATGGTACAGGAAATATATGGTACCTAAAAACTAATAACCAATCAACTACTATCATCCAAAACGTAATTAAACAAAAAGCAAACATCATGGACGATTGCACACACCTTGAGAGCATGATATCTAGCAGTGCATTAGGAATATCTCCCCATAAATTTAACATAAAAGTATGGATGATATTCTTGATGGCTTAATGCCATGTTCTGGGAGTGTTTGCATGAATTTTGCTTTTAGGAGATTTAGGCTCTTCTGATTGGTTTAGTTTTTCGGTTATCCTGTACCTTTCGATATCATAGAAATTAGGTTCTAAAAAATCTTCTGGTCCTTCAATTATCAATTTGCCACATTGGAGGAGTTTTTTTACTAATACTTTAGATTATCTGGAAAAAAAAGTGTAGAGATGTTCCTCCAACCATATAAGAGGCCCACCAAAACAAATATCAGAATTACATTGTTTACCAAACTGAGCCAACTTATGTGCCAAAATATTTAGACTATGTTTTGGAAATAAGTTGTTGGATCAAGTATTCGTTCAATAAGTGCTTTTTAAGTACTTATTCAAATAAATATTTATTAGTGTTTGGGAGTTTTTTTTATAAACTGCATGTTATTAAGTATTTATTTGTACTGAAGTATTTGGTGAACTGATTATCCTATAATTAAGTCTTTATTTTTACAAAAATGATAATTATAACCCTAACTTAACATAGAAATGGAACAACTTCATTCTTGTATACTGAGAAGAATGGAAAAAAAAAATAGGGAGAAATTGTCCTACCAAAAATGCAAGTAATTGAAAGAAATGACAAACTGATTGGATGAGGTAAAAAATATGGTAAAACAAAAAAGAAAGGAAAGAAAGGAAAGAAGATGAGCTGAGATCAAACCTGTATGGGGGAGAAATAACCAAGTCACCGCTGCTACAAATGGAGGTGAGTTTGGAGAGAAATATTGCAAAGCATTGGAGACATTCTTGTCACAATAAATTCTAATAAGCTCTTATATGGATTAGATCTATACAAAAAATGAGTTTAGATATAATCCCAAGGGAGATGCTCCATTGTGCAGCTGCAAAAGTGCTGGAAGCATTTTATTGGTAGAAGATCCCTACCCACACAAAATGAATTTGGCTTAGGTCAGGGCAATGCCAGTTCAAACAACTTTTACAGCGTTGCATTGAGAATATCTCCGTACTGATGTATTTTATTTCATGGGGAGATATTTCTAATACAAGATTGCAAGAGGCTGTTGAGACGGTATGAGCATGAACTTGCCCTGACTGAAACTGATCTCACACAAAATACTATTGCTGCAATCCTCCCCCCTGCATTTGTCATAATCACCCGTCATACAAATATCCAACAGCTTTCTTACGTATGTTTTATTATTATTATTATTATTATTATTATTATTATTATTATTATTTTGGTGTAAATGGGCAATTCCCAAACTTATATAAATAAATAACATATTTGAGTGTGATAATCAACCCAACTTCAGCTTCAGCCAGCCTCCTGAATAACTTCTTATTGCAAATAAGTCATTAAATTTAGCCACTTCAACTGTTATCAAATGACCCCTAACTTTCTAAAATATTCAGACCTGTTTGACAAGTCTTGTTGAAAGATCTTTTAGGCATTTTAAAGACCGTTAAATCAATAAAATATAAAATATAGGAAGCTGAAAAGACCCGTATCCCAAAAAACTCATGGAAGCCTGAAGTGGCTGAAATTTGAAGCTTCCTATCTTTGTACGCCTAAAATCATTCATTTAATATTTCGGACCTGACAAACACTCTTGGTTATTTCTGGGCAGGGGTAAATTTTCAATTCGGGACTCATTCGATAATACTTCATAGTAGTTGCAGGTTGCTATCCAGTATCCATAATTACGGCCCAAAACCTTTCATGGGCCCTGTATCCCAGGCCCAGGTTCCTGTCCGCCAGACTGCGACACTGAAAAATGATAATCATACCGCGTTCCCCACGGTTTCAACCTTCAGCTTTCATAAGGCTTATCCCGAACTCTGCAACTCCTCCAGTAGCCATGACGAGCAAGGTCTTGCCAATTCATCTCTACTCTTTAGACTCTTATCCGAGATTGAGATTCCCGGAGCTTAAACCCTCCTTCCTTTCACTCAAAATCCTACAAATTCGTTGTGCTAAGAGGTCGGAACGGACTGGAAAGCAGAGATACCCGTCAGAGAAAAAGAAGCTTAAGCTGAAGAAAAAAACCCTAGTTGATATCAAGAACAGAGATGAAGGTTTCTGGAGGTTATCTAAGCTGGGAGTTCCTGTTCACAAGGACCCGGGAAAAGATTATTTTGGTGTTTCCGATGCTCTGCTTGAAGCCATTGCTAAAGTTCTTGAATTCCCGGTTAGTCCTCCATTATGTGAACTTATTCAAGACCGGATTTTTCTTGAACTCTCTGGACCCACATTTTATATCTCGCTTAAATTGCTTTTCTAGTTGTTATGAATTTGATTTTGTTGGACACTTAGAAACTTAGTCCTCCATTCTGTGAACTTATTCCCGATGTTCTGCTTGAAGCCATTGCTAAAGTTCTTTGATTTCTGGTTATTCCTCCATTTTTTGACTCATCTGAGTGAATATCTTGTCATAGGTTTCTTCCATGTTGCCGCCTGAAGCCTTTACTGTCGTTCGCAAATCCTTTGATGCAAGGAAGGTCAGTTGTGTCGAATACTTGTGTTTGTTGTGAGGATATGGTTAAAAGGAAAAGGAAATTATCATTCATTGCCCTAAGGTGGAATGGAGTTATAATTCCTAAGGAATTACAGATAACTAAAAATTGTCTTGTGCAACTTTTGTTCAGCATGTCTTGAAGATTCTGGATAGCAAAATTCAGTATATAATGTATAATAATTGAACTTTAGCATTGTGGAGACAAGACTTGCAGCTTCAAATGTGGGCATTTCTAATTGAAATATGACAACTTTACATATTCAATAAACCAGTCATTACCCTTGGTAATATTCTATTTGAAAGTGGGAATTGATTCATAATGTTAGAGACCAAGTACTAGTAATTACATGAGCATGTACACTTAGTGGTGTTCAGACTAGATTGACTGCGTTTTGACTTAAGTTGCTTTCCTGATGCTTTTCAGTTGGTAAAGGAACCCAAATTTGTATACACTGTGGACATGGATGCAAAGAAACTTCTGAATTTGGAGCCCCGTACATGGGACTTCATTTCTCGGTTAGAACCTAAAGTTGGGCTTGTGGAATATATGCCTCATGAAAGAGTCCCTGATGATTTGATCAGTATGATACGCAACTTTGAAAGGCACGAAAAAATTGGATCAACAGAAGGAGGAGATGGAGTTCTTTCCAAAGGGTCTTCTAGGATAGAAACTAGGAAAAAACCAAAAGTTGCAGTTGTGGGTAGCGGGCCATCAGGGTTATTTGCATCTCTTGTGCTTGCAGAACTTGGGGCAGATGTTACACTAATAGAGAGAGGCCAAGCTGTTGAACAAAGAGGGCGTGACATTGGAGCTCTAGTAGTTCGTCGGGTTTTGCAATTGGAAAGCAACTTCTGCTTTGGAGAGGTAATCTCCCGATTCACCTTATTCTCTTTAATGGTTGTTTTGGTATTGCAAACTTCCTGCTTTGCTGGTCTTCGCTATCTTGCACATGATTGTTTCTCAATGTTTTGGTTTAATTACTATTACTTTATTGATGTTCATGACATAGGTTTTTCCACCTGGCCAACTTGGCAATTTATCCAGTTGACAATTGGCTATTACTTAGTTTTGAGTATATCCATCTTTTCTTTTAAAGTTTCTTAGGAGGGTAATATATTCTTTTCATTTGCTTTTTTTGTTTTTATGGATATCCAGATCCAATAAATTGGTTAAGGTTAAAGTTATGCTAGTAGTGGTTCTTGGTCTTTTTTCTCTTAGCGACTTATTAAAAGGAAAAAAAAGGACAAAAGGATAAAAGGAAAAAAAAAAGGGCAAAAGGATAAAAGGAAAAAAGAAATGAGATGCGGGAAAAAGCTGGCAACTTAGGAATTTCCAGCTTGCTTCATTGATGTGAAAACCATATATGAGGAGGAAAAATAACACAAAAAGGTGGTATTAGTTTCCTGAAGTTGGATCTAAATAGGAAATAGAGGCAATAAAGTGGGATATGAAGCACTTTTTTTTCTTCTTGAGAACCTTTTCATATGTACGTTCTTGAATGTTCTGATTAATACTACAAAAAATAAATAAATAAATAATGTTCTGATCAAATTCTGAACAACTTATGATTTTATCTTTTTTACCAATTATTTAAAAGTACTGTCTGACTTCTTGTTGTTCTCATATACTGTATGTGTACTTTGTAGCTCCCCCTTAGATTGATAGACCAATAAGATAGATTCACAACTTCTGCCTTATCAGGTTTACACGCCCATTGTTTAAAGTGAGAACTGCAACTAAAGTGCAAGAGTTTCCTAAATCCTGAGTCACAAGGTGCAAGGTAAGGTACACGCTTGAATAAAGCGAGATGCCAATTCCAAGAAAAACAAAGGAATAAACTTAATATGCAAGAATATGCAAATTGAATCTGAAAGAAATAGCATGTTTCAAAAGGTCTATTAGTTCAATTGGATAGAGTATTGCATTGTTAACACAGAGGTTGCATCCTTGTATATAAGTCATAGATATGTTAAACTGTTTAACCCTAAGTATTGTATGCACACTCTACAATAGAAAAAATTACCTATTCAATGCAAGCCAGTTGAGGCACACCCCACAAAATTAGTCTCACCTGTGAGCTAAGGCATACATTTTAAAACACTGTACTTGTTTCCGTTCTCAATCAAAAGACCCAGATTACTTCCTTGTATTCTCTTGATCTTTGTGGAAAACCCTGTTATGGTATTAGGATTTATACGAGAATTAAGTTTTTGGGCATAGATGATTGACATATAGTATTATGAAAATGGTATGGGGTCATGTCATGATGGAAGTATCTATGTTTTATGGTTCTTCAGGGTTTTTCATTTGTTATGTCTGATATAATTTTGCATTTGAGAACTCCTCATATAATACACACTAATAGAAGTTTCTACACCCTTCCCTCAATGCAGACACTCTATGTGCATTTCCTTGCCAAAGTAGCACTGAAACTTGAGACATTTCTGTGGTTCTTTTTTTCTCAATTTGTCTTCATTTTTGTATTTATTCTTAGAGATGATTAGTTTTTTGGATCTATTTATATGTATTTCCGAAATCATTTGTTAAGTACTTATGCATTGGCAGGGTGGTGCAGGTACTTGGAGTGATGGAAAGCTGGTAACTAGGATTGGAAGGAACAGCAACAGTGTTCTGGCTGTGAGAATCATGATACTATATTACTATCCTAGTGGTTTTCATTTTAATTATGGCTGTGCACACAGTAATGCTATATTTTTCATAAACAAATGATGTTCTGTTCATTTTAAAGTTGGAGCTGGCATTTCCCTATATTTTAGTATGGCATATGTTGGTATTATTCTAGGGCCCATTGCTTGATGTAATGGTAAAATCTCAGGCTGGAAAGCATGAAAACATGAGTTCAAGTCTGAGAGTGGCTACTTTGTGCATAAAAATGCCAAAGGTTAGGACCATATCCACTCTACCCCTCCCAAGACCCCATATTAGCTGGGACCAACATTGGGTAATGGCCTTTCTTATATGTTGGTATTATATATCTGAAGTTTCTATTCCAAGTTGATGAATGCTCATTATCTAATTTTCTTGTATTTCCTTTTTGGGTCAATTATTTAGGCATACAATAGTTGCTTTATCTCCATCTAGAGTGAGCATAGTCTTAACTCCAGTGGAATCATAAATAGGAATTTTCACTTGCATGGCTTATTTGAGGAAATAAGTTATTTCAGGCTTCATTAACCCGGAGTTTCCTCACTACATTCTTAACCGTGTTTTGGATGTAGTTATATTAACTATTATGTTCTACATGTAATTATCATTCTCACATGCATGTACGTGTGTGTCATGTGTTTGTATTATTGAATAAGCCACTATAAACTTCATTGTCTTTGTTGCCACCCTATCTACTTGGTCATAACTAGTATCCAACTGGGCCATTCCTTTTTCAGAACAGATTGATTGCCCATTCATTCATTACAAACGAAGAACTTAAGGGAAACTCAATCTTCAGCTTGGTCCTAACATGTTGGTTGCTCCCATAACTCATCACTACTAAACTATGTTTTGGATACAACAAAGACATGGCTGGATACACTATAGGATATGAATTTTACACTAAAAAATTGATGCATCTAACATGGTATGACACCATTGCACATGTATCCAGGTATCATAGTTACTAGATCCTTTTATCCAATATAAGATAGAATATTTGGCTCCCACTTTAAAATCCTCTCATCTTGGCCTGAGTGGTAATTACGAGTCCTGCTTTTAGTTTAATCTTCTCCTCATCCTTGTGATTTTAATTTTTCTACCTATGATAGAAAATGCAAATAAATTGACTTTGTAACACTGGTGTTGTTGGCTAAAGATATATAAATTATTTTTATATATTCCATCAAATACAATTAAGTAAATAAGGAGAGGGGTAGAAGGAACTTTTTGACCCTTCTTACGTTTCATTATTGTATCTGCATTCATTTATTGGTTGCAATCCCTTAAATGAGCAATGGTCCTTACCTTTTTGTTTTTGTCATTTTAGGTTATGAAAACCCTAGTTCGTTTTGGAGCTCCAGAAAATATCTTGGTTGATGGGAAGCCTCACTTGGGAACAGATAAGTTGGTTCCGTTACTGCGCAACTTCCGCAGACATCTAGAAGAGCTTGGTGTGAGTGATATATTTTAGCTTATCTAATTAGACAAAATGGACATTTTATTTTCCATTTGGTCAATTTACTCCATTATGTCCTAACAATATTAATTAATTCTCAATTTGATTTTCCTTTTCCAGGTTACCATCAAATTTGGGACAAGGGTTGATGATCTCCTTGTAGATAGTGGACGAGTTATGGGTGTCAAAGTTTCTGATACAAGACATGAATTGCATCATGGTAGCAAGAACCTGGGATGTGATGCAGTTGTTCTAGCAGTTGGACACTCTGCACGTGATATATATCAAATGCTTCTTTCTCATGACGTACATTTGGTCCCAAAAGACTTTTCTGTGAGTTTCTCATGATACAAGTGAAACAAAAGTATATGCTGATCCTTTACTTCATTCTTCTGGACACAAACTAATTTTGGTTGTGCTGTTAGGAACTGTAGAAGTATAGTTCTTGATTTTGTTGTCTTCTTTTTACTTGTTTTAACATTTTCAGATCAAGCAATAGTTTATGAGCCTTTATCAGTCATTCTTTAAAAAGGTCTAACCCTTAGAAGGTATATAAAGATAAGGTTGAAACTTAGAATGTACTATGATACTATCAATGCCTGATTATTTAAGGTTATATTTGGTTTGAACAAAGATGGAGTAGAGAAAAAAAAAGAAGGGAAGGCAAGCAGGGCTGCACCTTTTTATTGGAACCCTGCTTCCTCGTTTTTGAGAAGCAAAACCTGTCCATTTTTCTCTTTTACCATTTCTTTCAAATTAAACAACTGAAAATTTGGAATATTCAGCACATTCCATTCCCTCTACATTTTTATTTCAAATACACACACACACACACACCCTGATAGCCATTTATGGTTCAATGACTTGCATCTCTGAATGCTAGTTAGGAAAAAGTCCATTACCCATTGCTAGTCCTGACTATCTTAGGACTTGGCACTTTATGTGCTAGAAAAGTTATGGCTAAACACCCATAGTGCTTCTTAAGTCTTCTAGGGATCTCTTCAGGGAAGAAGGCAGGGAGTTACTACCATATCATCCTGTCAGGAAATTGTATTAGCTTTCATCTTTTTGATCAATTGGATTTAATGCTGTGACTTATCTGCTGTAAATTGGGTATTGCATCCATTTGATGTCAAATCCACCATAAGGGACTCTCAGAAGGATATAATTTTTTGTGTGCTTTCAGTTTCTGCTCATTTGGATTTTGGATCTACTGTAGTGATAACGCTGTCAAATTGGTTATTGTTTTCCTTTTTAACTCTTTTGCATGGCTAAGCAGGTTGGTTTGCGTATTGAGCATCCTCAAGAATTAATAAACAACATACAGGTTAGTTTTGCATCCCAATCTATTGGTTTTTAATTCACTTCAACTGAAAGGTAATTGTAAAGTATCTGTGTTCAACTGAGAAAGTAATTCTAACAATAAACAACTAAGTTCTGCTTAGAAGTATATGGATATAAAATTTGGGTTGGAACCTGAATCTGTATCTGCTTTTCAATTAAGATCTGATGGATTGAGCACTTATCCACTTAATCAGGCAATAGCATAAAATATTAACTGATGTTATTAAAAGGATATTGCAATTAGACGCTGAAAGTCTGCACTGCCCAACTATGAAATCTGCTTTAACTTCACGAGATGCTAGTGGATTTCTTGCATCAGTATATTTTTACTTTTTAATTGTCATGTTAAAAGTTTTTTACTGAATTCTTTTGTTATTGATCTTCCTTTCTGGATAACAATAATGCAATGCATCTCAAGCATTAATTCTAAAGTGGGTATCAGTGCGTATTGATATGACCAACACCCCTTTTTTTCCCTTGTTTTTTATATATTTTTATTTTTATTTTTATTTTATAGGTATTAGAGAGTCCCACCCATCATTTTAAAGTTTTAAATATTTTAAAAAATCTTTGTATTGGTGTATCCATGCATATCTGGATGCACCAATACGGATACGATATGGGACGTATTGTATTGATATTTTAATCCTTGTCTTGATGTCAATTTTTTATTGTCCAAGAACATTTGGGTGATATATTCATATTGATTGGTGAACGTACCTGACACCCATATATCTTACACTTCTGAATGGACTTGAATAGGTCCTATATATATGACCAAATCTGGTAAATCCTATATAAATTAAGGCATTACTAATGAAAGCTCTTGTGATAGACTTGAGACATTTCTAAGACCTGATTATGTAAATTTGTAGTACTCTGCCTTGGCTACTGAAGTTCGCAATGGACGTGGAAAGGTACCAGTTGCAGACTACAGAGTAGTCAAGTATATAAATGAAGAGGATGTGGAAACTTCCAGCATTTCAGGGGAGACAAGTCGTAGTTGTTATTCCTTCTGCATGTGTCCAGGAGGGCAGGTATATCATGTTTGTTTGTTTTTACGTTTCCCAATTATGAAACATTTATACATTTATCAGTCTTTTTGCATACTCATCCACCCATAGAGCCACACACAGATGTGCCATTATTTAGCAGTGTACCAAAAAGGAAATCTTTTCAGGCATCACTTGATCATCAGTGATGTTCTTAACAATTGATGACAGGAAATGGTGTAGGCTCTGATTTGTTAATATCACCAAATTGATGGAGTACCTCCTGGATCCACCCCCCTCCCCCCCCCAAAAAAAAATAAATAAATAAATAAAAATATCAACTATGCCATCTTGTTGCAACCACATAATCATCATTTAGCCCTGTGCCAACTAGTTGGGGTCAGTTCCATGAATCCTGTTCTGCTATTCTGTTACTGTTCAGTGCCATATCCAATTATCCATTGTTAAATTATGAGCACTTAAACCATTTCTTACTACTTCAACTAAAGTCCTTTTTGATCTGGCCTTAGTCCTTCTAGCCCCTTCAATAGGGATGGCAACAGGGCAGGTTCAGGGAGGGTTTTGTAATTCTAGGTCCTACCTGTCTCCCTAAACCTCCCAACCCATATCCTCCCCAAAACCCATAGCAGGTTGGATTTTTAGAATCCAAACCCTCCCTGCACATAAAAATGCAAAACCCTCTTTGATCCTACCCTCCCCACATTTGAGGGTATGTGGGACAGTTTGGCGAGTCAGGTCCAAAATTTGCATTAGGTTCTTATTATTTTCCATTATATGTAAGCAATAAACAAGTAAATAACAAGAAAAACATCAAAATTTCCAATTATTTGATTAAAACATGTAGAAGACACATAAACCATCAATTATCCTTCACATAAAGTTCAAAATATTATTAACTTCAACACTTAATATCCTTCACATAAGTTTATATGCCTTCCAACAATATGCGGGTCAGGTTTAGCCTAATGCTGTACCCTACCTGTAACCGTACAGGTTGTAAAATCCCCAAATCCGCTCAAGCTAAAAAACCTGCCCCATTGGGGAGGGTAGGGGGCGGGTACCCACTACCAAGGTTCAAAATTTCACAACGTATCGGACCGTATCGGCCAATACGTATCATTCCGGTACAGGTCTGATACACGGAACACATAGAAATTATCTGTAGCGTTCCTTTTCGTATGTATCGGTCTGTATCGGACTGTTTTAGGCCCTGTATCGAACTGTTTCGGGTTTGTATCGGACTGTTTTGGGTTTGTATTGGCCAATACAGTTCCGAAATAGTCCGATACAAGTCCCCTTCTCTCTCATTAATTTCATTAAATTATATTTAGGGCCGAATTACCTCTCATTAATTTTTTTATATTTACTCCTATATTTAAGTGCATTTTCTCTCTCATTATCTGTAGTGTTCCTTTTCGTATGTATCGGTCTGTATCGGACTGTTTTAGGCCCTGTATCGAACTGTTTCGGGTTTGTATCGGACTGTTTTGGGTCTGTATCGGCCAATACGGTTCCGAAATAGTCCGATACAAGTCCCCTTCTCTCATTAATTTCATTAAATTATATTTAGGGCCGAAGTACCTCTCATTAATTTTTTATATTTACTCCTATATTTAAGTGCACTTTCTGCCTCATTAATTAGTTAATTACTCCTATAATTAATGCATAATTTTAAACTTAAAACTAAAAATTAGCAATAGCAAGATTCGAACCCTAACCATTAGGATTTAAGAACTAGGGGTTCACCACTAAGCCACACCCATTTGCTTGCTATAATTTTATGCATTTTTATTTTTAAGTAAATTTTCTCTTTTTCTTAGTGTATGCTTATTGGTAAATGTTAGAATTAATTATTAAAAATTATGAATTAATAAATATTAAGATAAATTATATTGATTATTTTAAAACTAATGTATATCAATATACATTTTAGTTTTTTTTCACATTTTAGTTATTCCATCATTTGTCAATAGTTACTAAGTGTGTCTCGATATCTCTAATTTTATATAGACCATTAAATTACAGTTTTTTTTTCTTTTAAATAACTTATTTACAATCATCTAAAACTTGTAACTATCGTTATTAATATATTTTTTAGGATTTATTTGAGTTTTTTAGCATATTTATGCGTATCTTGATTTTTCATCCATATCCAAAACGTATCCCGATACATCTCTTAAAATTATCTTTCCAATACACCTTACATTTCCGATACTTTAAACCTTGCCCACTACCACTAGGTAGGGTAGAAATTACCATCCCTACCCTTCAACTTGCAACAGATTTGCTTTTTTCTTATGAGAGTCGTAAGTGGTCTTTTATTCACATGACCTGACCATCTTAGTCTACTTTCTCTCATTTTATTTTATCACGTAATAGAGCTACTCTGAGGTTCCATTGAATGATTCATTTTCATCTGACCCTGTCCTTTCTAGTTTATCCATTCAGCCATCTCTGCATTTGCATTTCTGCCACACTCACTTTTTGGACATTTTGTTTCTTGACAGCCCAAAACTCTACTTCATACAACAATGTTGGCCTTATAACTGTTTTATAGAATTTCCTTATGAATGCGTTAGTTCATTAGTTATAAATCAAGGGCTCTCAGATGAATGCATTTCTGATCAGCTTCCCATCCTAGAGGTGCCATATTAATCAAATGATCAATATTGATGAGGTTATTAGTTTTCTATGTAGAAAGAAAGATAAGAACCATTAACCTGTCTTAAATTATGTCACTGTATTATATTTCCAGTTGATATAGTTTCTGGGTAAGTTGCTTGCAGGTTGTTCTTACTAGCACGAATCCATCAGAACTCTGCATTAATGGCATGTCATTTTCTCGACGTGCATCCAGATGGGCAAATGCTGCTTTGGTTGTTACTGTCTCAGAAAAGGATTTTGAGACGTTGGACTGCCATGGACCTTTATCTGGGGTTGAGTTTCAGGTATTTTTTTCTTCTCTGATTTTGTTCTTCATCTTTGTTTTTATCTGGATTGGGCTATTGGGGACAAGAAATTTAATGGAGAGGGAGAAGTGGCAAGGCATAAATGATATATATTATCTAATGTGTAGTATTTTTCACTTTATAGCTATTTCTAGCATGCAGTTTGGCTTTCCAAAGTTCCTATATACTCCCTTTCATTTTGGAACAAGGTTCTCAAAAGGGACATCATGGGCACCCTTACAATTGGTATTGATAACATGGATAGAACATGCAGAATAGTAAATTAAACTTTCCATAAAGCATGTGACACTCAACTGTGCATAAGGTAGAAGGAAAACATGGAAACACACTATGATTGGATACACTATGCAGGGTGCTGAAGTCCACCATATGATTGGATACACTTGCAGAATTTGAGGTCATAACTTCTCCTACTTGTATAACCAACTATTACATATGTTCTTTGTGGATCTTTACCGAAGATTCCTAACTATAGCATTGCTAAATTGGATGGTTTCCCACCCAGTTTGGTCAACTTGGGTATCAGTGATATCTAAAGCCCACTAGTTTGAGGTTCTTCATGGGTCAGTTGATGATAACCTAAAGCACTGGTTACTGGCATCTTTTATATCACAATCCTAACTAAACTTTTTTGACATAAACATTGTTATTCAGAGAGAACTTGAACATAGGGCAGCCACAATGGGAGGAGGCAATTTTGTTGTTCCTGTACAGAGAGTTACAGAATTTATGCAAAACAAGTTGTCAGGTAGAGACTTTAGTAAACATTCCATGTATTCTTTACTTCATATCTTCAACTAATCAGTTGCCCAATTTCCCTAGTAACATCTTTACCACCATCAAGTTACCGGTTGGGAGTTAAGGCAGCGAATCTCCATGAATTGTTCCCTTCTTATATAACAGAAGCTTTACAGCATTCAATTTCAATGTTTGACAAAGAGGTAGCCTTATCCATTCTCTGCTGTCTCTTTCACTTGGTTTTTGTATAAGAATATACCAAATTTTAGTTGGATTGAATTTTGTTTGACAAACATTTTGGAACTCCCAGCTGCCAGGTTTCATCTGTGGAGATGCACTTCTTCATGGAGTTGAGGTAATATACTGACCTCCATTACTTTTTGTTATCTTGCAGTCTTGCAGCTTAAATAATGCATATATATATATATATATATACATATTATTTCCAAAGCTTTTTCTGTGATCCAATTGCTCCTGTTATAGAACAAAAATACTAGTTAACCATAAATCATAGCTATGCACTCAAGAGGCATGCATGGACATGTAGGGTATTATTAGAATGCATTAACCCTATACTGTTGCATATCTAATTCATAAGGTTCGCCCCTGGGGTGGCCTTTTCTACTTATCTGTTGGAGGTTGTGTGAAAATTTGAATGCCTTGTGCTTTCAGACAAGGACCAGCTCTCCTGTTCAGATTCCCCGAAGTGGTAGCACCTATGAGAGTATGTCATTGAAAGGACTATACCCAATTGGAGAAGGTGCAGGTTATGCTGGTGGGATTGTAAGTGCTGCCGTTGATGGCTTATATGCTGGTTTTTCCGTGGCAAAAGATTTAAATTTGTATCAAGGAGGTATAGAATCAATATTAGGTGAGGCTCAGAGAAACATGGGCTTTGTTAAGTACTAAAAGCCTCTCTCTCTCTCTCTCTCTCTTCCCGGCTGAAACAGGATTAATTAGGATTAGAAGCTAGGATCATGGCTAAAAAGTTTGAAGAACAGGCACAATTTTGACAGTATATGTACTGATCACCAACTTATTAGAGAAGAAATCCAAAGAAGAGAAATACGAGGGATCCTTTTTTTTATCTTCGTTTTGGTTGTCCCCCAATGTGGATGTTGTCATATTATATATTTGCTTCTCACATTGGATGTGCAAAGAACACAGATATATATTAGTCTCCTCTTGGTTCTATGTGTATACACAAATAATTCATTTCGCATTCTCATTATTTGTAGGAGAGTCGAGCTACATGATGAAATCACCTCAAGAACTGAAAAAAAAAAAAAAAAAAAAACCTAATTTGTCAGTAGTCCGGACGTAGCATATTTGGAATAAGGAGCCGTTGAGGGTCAGTTCCATGGATAAGTTTAGTTATAATTTATAAAAGCACCCGAGAATTTTAAAACATTTTTGGTTTGTGAACTTACAGTCCGAGGTTCGGTTTCTGATGATGCAGAATTCTCAAATTCATGGCATATTTTGTTGAGTCTGTCGTTCAACATTTTAATGTGAAGTTCCTAATAAACTAACAAGAAATCTATACATGCAACATCCAGATTTTTTCTGGTCGACTTTAGAAATCCACGATAAAGAGTTTGTTAAATTGCACTTCCTTTGTTAATGTGGTATTAAATGGTAATCTCTGCCATATGTCACAGTCCTCACCACTATGTTACACACACTACACCTGAACATTTCATATAAGTTTTGACTAAAAGACTCCCTCATGAAATTATTCTAACATTTTACAAGTATTCCCAGTAGTTGCAGTTGACAAAAATTAAGATGTTTGTCTAATGTTTTTATTAATAGTCCCTTGAACTTTAAACTTAGCGTCATTTAAACTTAGTGTCATTAATACATTTGTGGGATTTATGGCTTTTCTTAGCATACCTCAAGGTTCAAAGTATCCATACTTTTGATACGAAAAAATTGTGTATTAAAAGGTGGAATTTTTTTTTTTATTATTTTGATTTAATGATTTGTCAGCTGACGTTAAATTACTTTTTTATCATTTAAAACGGAATATCTATGTTACTAGAAAGACATAATACCAGAAGAGCTTTGACCAATCAAAACATCCCTTATGCCAACTTAGTGACACTCGTTAGATTTTCTCTGCTTCACAAATTTAATCTAAAAGAATGCAAAATGTATCTTACCCAATCTATTAACCAAGGTTAAAAAAATCAACGCGTATCAGCCTGTATCGGCAGATACATATTGTATTGGGAGCACCCTGATACGCCCCTACAGAGGGTGTATCGGGGTTTTAACCAGTTCAGGGGGTGGAAGAACCTTAAACCAGCCCCCTGAACCGGATTTGAAAAAAAATACTGATACTGCCCGATACGCCCCTACCAGCGTATTGGGCGTATCGATATTTAGAACCTTGCTATTAACTGAACACAAAAATAGAGAGTTCGTATATATAGAACAGTATTATTTACAATGAGAAACCATCTTGTCATATGAATTCCCATTTAAACATCTTAATGGTGTATTTCTAATAATGATTCCATTTAGACATTCAATCTTGTATTTACCAACGCTGTTCATTAATCACTTTGGCATCTTATTGGGTTTAAGCAAATAAATGGTTTTCAATTGTTCGATCGAATTTGACAAGGGAGGAAAAACTTTTATACAGACTTCTAACTCAACATTTTGGAAGTAATATCAAATCTTGAAATAGCATTCATGTGAGTATGCAACATCCCAAGCTCTGCCTTTTTTCGGAAATTACCAACTGACCAATTGCATTTTTCAGCCTTCTTTTATATCTGAGTAATACTTTGTGCTTCCAAATCCAACAACATGAAGAATGGGAAAGAGAAGATGCTAACAATCAGTGTTCTGCTTTCTAGTTTCTACACATACAAAACATTTTTCTATTCCCTTGGGCATTAACCAAAAGCAATGCAGTGTAAACACAAACCAGGTGCAAATTCTGTATCTAGTTTCAGAATTTTATGTGTTTGTTCGTAGCTTCAATCAGCACCCGTACCTAATGCAAAATAGGCAATTTTTGTTTGTATGCATTCATTGGTAGTGCAGATTTTGCATCTCAAAATGGTGCAAAATTTACATCACCTTCATTATCTCTCTTATGGAATGGGGACTACATCATTTTAGTTCCTATTTAACTTCTCCCAAATAAGCAACCTCATCTTCACTCGTTTCAAACAAAAGTAAACCAAAACCCATTTGCACCAATACAAGTTAAATTTGCAATGCAAACAGAGGGAGCCATGAGTTTAATTTTGAGACTGTTAAAAGAAAAAGAGTTTAAAATTCACTTCTGCTGCAGGGTATGCTGCCAGAGGCAATGTGTACATGTTTTGATTGGCCTCCTGCAGCAAATGTAGCATGCAGTAGTGAAAGTAAGCTCACTTGTGTCTAATATCACTTGTACCCAATTAGATTTTAAGTATTGATTATCCACCTATGGTCATTAACTTGTTTTTTTTAAATAAAAACAGTATTCTATTAGTACTTAGAAGAACCAGTACAGTTAACGGAGAAACTGGGATGAAGAACTAAAGACATTAATGCTGAAAAAGAACAACTTCAACCTAAGAATACAAAACAGAAACGGGCTATACTACCCTATAAGTATTCTAAATTGGCAATTTGGGTCAGAGGAAGGGTTCGAGGTAGCATTAAGTTGGCATCCTTAATGTAAGTGCTCCTATCAACAAAACATCATAGTTATATATGTATATGGATTGAAATGTCCATGTCACTTAAATCCTTTGGATTTTAGCCTCTACAGCATTTCTTACCCTTTAGACTTGATCCAAAGAGTATGCTGCATTTAATCAAGAATGAAATTATGAAGAAAGACTGAAGAAAATCCAGAAGCCTATCTTAGCAAGCAGGATGTAAATATAGTCATTTTCTCTTGGCTCGACAGTTACAACTTATAAAGCAAAGAAAATCATGTACTCTTTGCATGAAAGAGAATTGACCAAAAGAGATTATCAGTGCATTTTTTTACCAGAGTCTAACCTCATAGCTTTGGTTAGCAAAAAGATAAAAGAATGAAAAGAGGAAAATGTCTTCAGAAAATAAAAAGAAAAGAAAAGTTTAAGAACTCCAATTTGTAGTTGAGAAAAAAGGTTTGTTATCCTTCACTTAGGCTAATGTCACCTCGGTAAGTTACATTTCACTTCTCAAAATGAGTATTAAACCAATTATTAAATTGACAGACAATGAAACCTAAAGTTATGCCATTCAGAATTTGAGCCAAAAATATTATGAAATTTAATGGTTTGTGCCATCTGTCCACTTGTGAAAGCAAAATACTAGCCATACAAGCATTCAAAATTATTGATCAGCAAATCACAAGTTTTAAAGTCTGATATACCCCTTAGTTACCAAAGCCCCTGACCCCTGCTTTATTCTGTCATGACATGTATGTGAGCTGCTAGCATTGCTCAACTGTGAAAGTAATCCTCTGATTGTATACAAAATTGATTGATTTTCAGTTGATCTTGTGGGGTGAATTTGAAAACCACAAGTAAGAAGATCCCTGGTGAGGGCCGATAGCCTGAACAAGCCTGTGGCACTTTTGATTGAAGGGGAGTTGGAGAAGTTTGATACGTTGGGGGAAAAAATAAAAAAGGAAAAAGGGTGATTGTGATTCCTCAGGAATAGGTGATAAGCCAATTGTTATGATGGAGGATTCGGGTGGAAGTCTGGAATTAAGAGTCTTGCGGATAGGGACGTGCAGGTTGCCTAGGCTTGGGCTTATTTTTCTTAGGTGGAGAAGCTTTTGCCGGAAAAGCCTTTGAAGAATTCGAAAGAAGAAATGTGGAGAGCTGAAAGAAGACACGAGAGAGATGGATTGAGGGAGAAGGCCAGGAAGAGGAGCTCAATGGGGAGGAATAATTTTGGCGTATGACAGTTTTCTGGAGTATTTCTTTGTTCTTTTTTGTGAAAAGAGGTTCATCTTCTTTCGTTAGTTCTTGTTGTTTCACTTGGGTTGGATTTCTTGCTGAAGGTGAATTGTTTCTGTTGTTGGGGACTCTTGCTCTTCTCTCAGGTGATCTCTTATCAACTTCCTCTTGTATTCTCTTTTTTCTTTATTATCAAAAAAATAATAATCACAAATAAATCAAAGCCTCACATTATCTGGGATCAAAATGACAATGTTGGGAAGAAATCAGTAACTGCGACCAAGAAAGCTCTGCAGATCACCAAATCACTAATTCAACCACCTGGTCCTGTCCTAGTTTGACAGCACTGGTTGGAAGAGGAGCATAGTAAACACAACCCCAATCTATTATAATTGGACTGAAAACGTAGACCTAGAATCAACTTTATTATTAATTAGTGGTTGGATCAAACATTTCTTCAACAATAAGCACTTGCTAAGATTCCCAATGGGTTCAGTAATCGGAGATGTGGCAACTAATGGTGAAAGAGCTGAAGCAAGACTTGCAGCTTATCCACTCGAGGGAAGAATTGCAGAGAAGATGTAGGAGTAACAAAATAATCCAACTTTTGAATACTTCTCATTATAGAAGATTAAGCAACCAAATCCAAGTTATATAAATCACAGGTATTTTTTTATTAATCTCCATCTGGAGGAAAGTCCAGAAATACATAATAAACACCAACCTCAAATTTAATAGGTAAATTTTATAGTTAGAAATACCAACTTCTCAATCTTGGGAGTCCCTTTTTTCTTCTTCGAAATTAGGTTGTTTCTCTTAGCATCTTGCAAGAGATCTACTTTCCTTTCTCTTTCATTCTTAAGAAACATAGCTTTCATCAATAATTGAAATACTTATTCCTTAGTTTCCAGCTAGGTGATACAATGAGTTATTTCCATTATATCATATACACAGAGAGCTATGAGTTCTATATGATGTCATTGAAGGTAACCACCCAGAAATTGAAGTCGTGTCACATAAGTAAAAGCTAAATATGTGCAATACGGTGAATCTATTGCCACCAGAGAGCAAACAAGTTTAGAAACAGACAAAATGAACGGACTATCTGAGAACAATAATTTACATTATAATACAAGTAAAAGAACTGATATGTTCAGGAAAGAAAAAGCAATAAAGCCACAAATTGAACTTCATATTGAAACCACTGTCTCTGTTGTTTTAGAAATAAATTTTGAAAATAATAATAACACACCTCAACACATCGGATCTGTGCAGAAAATAAGAAATTCTGCCAACAAATACCTTCACAGAAAGGGAACCAAGGGCAGTTTAAGACACCATTACTACGTTCTCCAAATATATCATACATTGCACAATACTTTTCTAACTAACAAATATTTGAAATATAGAACAGCACCAAAACTTTTCTAACTAACAAATATTTGAACCTTCTTCTCAATGGCATATAAATTATACAAACCCGATAACAAAGGCCAGCTCCAAAATAAATTACAAGGCTATTAAGTGACACTATTTTTTTTTTCTTTTTCAGGCTTTTGATTTCAACACCACAATCTGCATCTCAAATGATTTCTTTTCCACACTCGTATCAGAGGAACACTTCACACATCTTTGCAGCAGTATTCCACCATGAAGAACCACAAATAATGAGCAAAAAAAAAAAAAATCTGGTAGCATGATGGAAAAGAATTCATAGAAAGGCAAAACAATATATAAATTACAAACTCATACACAAGGAAACTCCCAGGGTATGAAAACAGCTAAAGCCGTTTAATTTTGCATAAATGTGCTAGGAGTTTGCTTACAAAATTTGTTCCTTCCCCTGCTATGTACCTTTAATTTAATCAAATAAGATTATGAGTAGTAGTAATAGCCACAACTTAAACTGGACATCAAAAGAAGCTGTGCACGAGAGTTCTCTACAGTTGGTAAAGGTACAACTGTCTCTGCATAAATAGGACTTCAAATTAAATTATACCAAGAATCCAGTATCTCGATATATCATGGTATTATTTAATGATGCATACTATAACTACTTTTGTACAACATGTAAAATGAAGTATTACAAATTTTAGGTTCATCAAATTAGTGAGATGCTATTCCATAATCCAAAAAGCTAAGCTGAGAAATAATAAGACCATGAGCTGAAAAACACCGTTAAGGAAACCTTCTGCAATTCTTTCCTTGTCTCTTTTCTCTAAAACAGTCTCTTCCACTTCTCTCTACTCAAATTCCTGTATGAGTTTAAGAAAACCCAACCATTTCTCATATTGATCTCTTGTTATCAAGGCCAAGGAGGAAAAGTTTATGAAGAATACTGTAGTGAGAATGGGCCGAATGGGCCCTAGTGTTCTTTATTTCTTTTAAGTAGTGTTTAAAAGTTATGTTTCTTAGTTGTAGGCCTTATGGGCCTTCTTTTATTTTCTTTAATTATCTCTTTAGTGCTGGCTGCCCCATTAAGGGCATCAAAGTAATTGTCTCAGACTTAGAATTATTAATAAAAGTGATGAAAGGGGGCTAGAGAATTATTAATAAAAGTAATGAAAGGGGGCTAGAGAAAGGTTTGAATTTTTCTTTTCTCTCTTCCCTTCTTTTCTTCTTCCACAACCTATTGCTGAAACTTCTTTCCTTCTTCTTTCTCTTCTTTCTCTTCTTCTTTTTTTGTATTATCTGAATTACTGTAGGTGTAATTTTCAACTTCGTATCAGAGCGGGTTCTCACTTTCGACTTTTTTCTCCTTTCTTTGCCCATACATAGTGTGTATGGAGAACTGATTGATTGATCAATCAGCTATTTATGTAGCTCAGTTAGGAAGGTTTTTGAGAGTTTTGTGGAGGCTTTTCATCCTTAGTTGAAGCCCAGGGCAGGTTCTTGTGAGTCTTTTGAGTTCTCAAAGCATTGTAAGAGCATTTATCCTTTAAAAAGATCAATTATTCCTTTTAATATTGATTACTCTGATGTGTGGGGGCCTTACCATTTACTATGTATGAGTGGGTATAAATATTTCATCCTATTTATTGATGATTTTTCACAATATATTTGGATTTACCTTATGTTCTCTTGGGCTGAAGTAACTAAACTTGTGCAGTAGTTCCATGAATACACTCACTCAGTTTAATACCCGCATCAAAATATTCCGATCAAATAATGCTAAGGAATATTTTGAGAATGACCTTACCTCCTATCTTGAGAAGCTTGGGGTTATTCATCAGAGTTCTTGTGCCCACACTCCACAACAAAATGGATTAGCAGAGAGGAAAAGCAGACACATTGTGGAAATTGCAAGGAGCATTCTTTTTGCTACCCATGTTCCTGTGAAGTTTTAGGGTGGTGCAGTTTTAACAGCTATATACCTTATTAACCGCATGCCTTCTCGAATCTTAGGGTTAAAATCTCCCTTTGGATTCCTCTTTCCTAATGTTGAGATTTTATCTATTCCTCTAAAGGTCTTTGGTTGCACTTGTTATGTCCACATTTCCAATTCCAAAAGACACAAGTTTGACCCCAAGGCTCAGAAGTGTATCTTCCTTGGTTATGCCTCACAAGTTTGATCCCATTAGTGGCACCCGGTTTGTTTCCATGGATGTCACCTTTGTAGAGTCAATTCCTTTTTATAGCCATCCTTCTGAGGGGGAGAGATCTATCGAGTTGTTTTCTTCATCCCTTCTTTTGCCAACTCCAGTTGAATCTTCCATTGAGCCCTCCACAGTTGCCCCCGTTCCCGTAGTGAGATCTTTTCAATTGAGGTCTTCCACTCCTGCTCCTCCCCTCCTCCTACTAGTCCTCTAGTTGTTTCCACTCATCCTATTCTCTAGGGGTGGTACCAGCGGCAAAGGCTAAAGCGAATATAGGTTGATCCCACACCTCCAGTTGAGACTCAAGCACTCCTCCCGATTACTAAAGAGAGGCAATGTCCATCACCTCCTCCACCAATACCCTCGTTTCTAGACCTTGACCTACCCATTGCTTTGAGAAAAGGTAAGAGGAAATGTACAACTCATAGTATTTCCAAACACATTTTCTGCAGCTTGTTGTCCCCATCCTAGTACACCTTTCTAACATCCATTTCCTCCCAACCATCCCAAAGTCTATTTCAGAAGCCTTAGCCACACTAGATTGGAGGGATGCTATGAGTACTGAAATAAAATCCCTTCATAAAAACAATACTTAGGATATTGTTGACTTGCCAGATGGGAAGAAACCTGTTGGGTGCAAGTGGGTTTTCACTATCAAGAATCATGCAGATGGGTTAATTGAGAGGTATAAGGCTCGACTTGTTGCTAAGGGATATACCCAGGTATATGGGAAAGATTACATTGAGACCTTTTCTCCAGTTGCTAAGATGACTTCGGTGAGAGTTCTTTTATCCTTAGTTGTGAGCTATGATTGGCCTCTGTATCAATTTGATGTTAAGAATGCATTCCTGAATAGTGATCTCACTGAAGAGGTATATATGTCCCTTCCACTTGGTATATATGGTAAGGAAATGCAGGGGAAGGTGTGTAGATTGAAGAAATCACTTTATAGTCTAAAACAATCTCCACGTGTTTGGTTTGACAAGTTTAGGGTTGCTCTTATTCAGTTTGGCTACACTCAGACTCAATCAGATCATACCCTCTTTGTTAAGAAAAAAGACACTCTGGTGATATTCCTTATAGTTTATGTAGATGATATTGTGGTTACTAGCAATGATATAGAAGAAGTTAGTGCTCTCAAAAAGTTTCTCAGTTCTAAATTTGAAATTAAAGATTTAGGGGAGTTGTGGTATTTTCTGGGCATTGAGGTTGCTAGGTCCAAGGAAGGTATCTTTATTTCTCAACGAAAGTATGTGCTAGACCTTCTTACTGAGACTGGAAAACTTGGTACTAAACCTGCCTCTACCCCTATTGATGTGAATCATAAGCTCTCAACTAATGATGGAGAACTTTTAGCTGACAGGGGAGTGTTTCAGAGATTACTGGGAAAACTTCTTTATCTATATATGACTCGTCTAGACATTTCATATGCTATGAGTGTCATCAGCCAGTTCATGCATGCTCCTAGAGAGACACATATGACTACTGCAAAAAAGGTGTTATGCTACCTTAAGGGAACCCCTGTGAAGGGTATATTATTTGCTAAACATAGACACATGAAGATAGAAGTATATACAAATGCTAATTGGGTAGGAAATGTGGATGGCAGGAGATCTACATTAGGATATTGTGCTATGGTAGCCGGAGATATTGTTTCTTGGAGTAGCAAAAAGCAAACAGTGGTTGCTAGATCTTCATCTAAGGCAAAGTATAGAGCTATGGCCCATGGTGTTTCTGAGTTGATATGGCTTAAATCTCTCCTTAATGAGATGGGTGTTTCATGTGGTGAGCCACTAATGTTGTATTGTAATAACCAAGCTGCTATTAACATTGCTCACAACACAGTTCAGCATGATAGAACTAAGCACATTGAGGTAGACAGACACTTTATATGGGAGGGAGTGGCTTTAAGAGAGGTGTGCCTACCTTTCATTGCATCAGAAGAGCAACTAGCAGATTTTCTAATTAAGGGAGTCCCAAAGGCAAAGCTTCAACATTATGCAAGCAAGCTGAGCATGATTGACATCTATGCTAAGGAGTGTAGTGAGAATGGGCCGAATGGGCCCTAGTGTTCTTTATTTCTTTAAAGTAGTGTTTAAAAGTTATGTTTCTTAGTTATAGGTCTTATGGGCCTTCTTTTATTTTCTTTAAATATCTCTTTAGTGCTGGTCGCCCCATTAAGGGCATCCAAGTAATTGTACTCACACTTAGAATTATTAATAAAAGTGATTAAAGGGAGTAAGAGAGAGGTTCAAATTCTTCTTTTCTTCTTCCACAACCTGTTGTTGAAACTTCTTTTCTTCTTCTTTCTCTCTCTCTTTTCTTCTTTTCTTTCATTATCTAAATTACTGTAGGTGTAATTTTAGACTAATATAAAATGAAATTTGTTGCACATTATCTAATTCTTCTTGGCCATGCAAGGGCTTTTGAGATGATCTTTATCAGGTACATAAATAGAGTTGCATCCGCTATAAACAATGTATATGTACAATAGGCTAGGAAGCCCAACCAGAAGTAAATACATCAGCCATTTGTACTGTTGGAACTTGGAAGATGTAACAGCAACTGACGCTTTTGCTACTGATTGGGTTTAGTAGCCCATTGTACACAGGCAGTCCTGTGTTGTTCACGAATCACATAGGTGGTTACACATCTGCTCAGCCTGTTCCAAATCAACATGAACCAAACCTGTTACAAGAAAATAATGAACAATAAATTCCTGTACGGATGTACCTCACTCAGCTGTTCTCCTACTTGCCTTTGACATCTCTGCTCCATATGCCATTCATTCTTTCACTGCCCCATAAAACTCTTCTTCATCTATGTCTTTGGAGGATGCTAGAAACTTAATTCAAGCCTGAGCTGTCACAATATTTGCATTTGCTCAACCTTTTCAAATCAACCCCAACCAACTACGTACAAAAACTACTTTATTTACGTTTATTGGATTATACATTAAAAATTGGCCCAAGACCACAGATAGCCAGGACCAACGTTCAGAAATGAACCCTTTTAAGATTTTATACACTAAAAATTGACCTAGTTCTCTGCTGTCTGCTCATACGGGTGATCCTGGCAACCAGGTCGATCAATTCCTTGGATAGTCAAAGAACAATATTTCAAACTGAGTACATAAGTGATATGAATAAAACCAGCTGTATTAGTTTTTAGGTTTCCAAACTTCAATAGTCAAAAACAATATAAGAAAAGTTCCAGATGGTTACAAGAAAGTCTTTATGACACATGAGTAATGAGTAATACTGAGCGACTCTTCTTGAGAAGAGTTTGTCACTTGTTCACATCCATATCAGACAACACTTGCAGCAGTTCAACTTTAGAGAGACCAATGGTGAAAACACAACAATATATAGGTGCACTTACTTACATGGTCACTTATTGTCATGCACATACCACAATTTTATGTATCAACTAAATTTACGATTCAAATCGACAAAACATATAATAAGAAGAATTCTAGATTGGCTTTTTATGTCATGTTTACAATTAAATAATAAGGGAAGGTGAAACAGGATTCATGTAGCCAACCCTATATGGTTGGCATAAGGCTCAGATGATGATGATAATAATGTTTCTGACCATCAAGTGGTGCATTAGGAATGCTAAGAACTGATATATGAACACATTCTTTTATCAATTCAATGACCTTGTGCCCAAATCTGTGTTCCCATATTCATGTACAAAGGAGGAAGTTGTTGAAGCTAAATGAATGGCAGCTAATTTCTGAACTTGTGGTCACTCAAATAAATATCTTTTTATTCATCAATTTGTTCTGTACAACTCACTTTGCGGCAGGCATGTATATGAGCTACTGTTCAGGCTCATAGGAGATGTGCCCTCTCATTTCACTTTCTATCTTATTCAACATTTTATATATCTCTTTCCTTCGTGGGTGAATCTTATCACCCACAACAAACTCATGGATTTCACCATCTACCTCTATCCAACTTACGCCAGGGACCTTCCCAACTCCCCTATCCCCCATCACTCTCCTCATTGCACTGAAGTCTTCCCATCTGCCAGAGCTGGCATATAAATTAGAAAGAAGAACATAACCACTTCCATAATCTGGCATAAGCTGAATTAGTTTTAGTGCTGCAACCTCTCCAATCTCAACATTTCCATGGTTCCTACAAGCAGATAGCAATGTGCCCCAAATCACAGACCCTGGTTCCATAGGCATATTCTCAATAAGTGCTTTTGCTTCTTCAAGAAACCCTGAACGACTGAGGAGGTCTACTAAGCACCCATAGTGCTGTATCCTGGGCTCTATATTATAAGTACTTCTCATAAGATTGAAATGCTTCAAGCCTTCTTCCACTAGACCCCTGTGGCTACAGGCATTCAAAACACCTATGAAGGTTATGTAATTGGGCTTCACGCCAGATACCTGCATTTGGGAGAACAACTGTAAAGCAGCCTCAGCAAATCCATGGACAGCAAAGCCTACAATAATTGAAGTCCAATGTCCCACATTTCTATTTTGAATGCCAACAAAGACTTTCAAGGCATGGTGGATGCTCCCACATTTCGAATACATATCAATTAATGATGCACCGAGAACACCATTAAGTGATAATTCATGACGGATTATATATCCATGGACCCGCTTGCCCAAGCTGAGGATACCCAGATCGGATATTGCAGAAATGGCGCTGACCAGGGTTGATTCATCTGGCCTCAGCCCTGAAACTTGCAACTCTGCAACGAGGCTAAGGGCCTCATAGGGTAATGACTCTCGTGCGTACCCTGAAATCATTGAATTCCAGGAAACAAGGTTTCTCTGAGGCATCTCGTCAAACAACTTGCATGCAGATTCAATGTCACCTGACTTCAGAAACCCACCAATCATGGAATTCCAAGAGACAATATTCCGACCCGAAATCCCTTCAAACACTCCACGAGCACTTCTAATCTTCCTACATCGAGCATACATATGAATCAGAGAATTCTGCACAAAGAGGTCTGATGCAAAGTCAGTTTTCAACACGAAGCAATGCACCTGCTCGCCTTCTTCAATAGAGGCCAATTGAGCACAAGATTTGAGTACAAAAGGAAAAGTGAACTTATCGGGAGCAAGGTCGTGAAGCATTTCGTAAAACAGTAAGAAGGCTTGCTCGGGTTGATCAACCTGGGTGCATGCTCTGATGAGAGTGTTATAGAGGAAAGAAGAGGGTTCGATAGTGTAATCAAAGACGGAGAGAGTGTAATCGACATCTCCTGATTTGGGAGAAGAAGATTGAAATGAGGAACAACACGACTCAACAAGTTTCGTCGCCACGGTCGGGTCGTATTGGAAGAGACCGGTTTTGATCGTTTGGGCGTGAAACTGTTGGACTTCTTTAACGGTGGTGCAGCGGTGGAGAAGTGGAAGAAGCGGCGGTGGTAACGATGGGAAGGAAGATGTGTTCCATGGAAGAATGCTTTCAAGCGCCATACTTTTGGAACCGGAGCAGTGGCCATGGAGAGCACTTAACTAACCAACGACCACGAAACAAACATGCACTGTCTTCGATCCGAACCACTGGATGAAAACTCGGATTCAACTCAACCGAGTTGTTGAGTCGACATTTCTATTTCTTCATTTTATTCATTTGTAATTCTTTGAACCTTTATTGTAATTCTTTACTCATGAATCTTTATTAATCCGAATTGTCTTGTTCATGAGTAATAATACAACACGTAACAATTTTTCGTGACTAATAAAGATTCCTGACTAATACACAATTGAACGACATTGTCGGACTCCACTGATGGCCTGATGTACTTTTTATTCTCAATAAAATGGAATAACAAATGACATATTCACTTTATAGCTGTTTATTCAAACTTAGAAAGTTGGCCTGATTCAATCTAATGTTATCCAAGTTTCAACTAATGCCCAATTACTTAATGGGTTAATTATAATGCAGTAGTTAAATGCAGAATTCTGAATTACAATCCCCCATAGTCTATTAATAGCCCCCCTATAAATCTCATTCTGCCCTTAGATTTGGCATTAATCCACGGTCTGGATTCATCCTTCATACGGTGGGGCTAAAAAATTCTTACCTGAACTGAACTAATCAATCATTCTCCCGCAGTTAATTGATCAAGCAATCGAAGACCACATCAACTGTATCACTATCTAGTCAATCAATATTAGGGGTGTAATTAAGTTATGCTGAATTGAGTATTGGGTTACTCAAGCTGGTTTTGATTCAAAAGTTCAGAACTCGAAATTTGACTCAAGCTCGATCAAGTTATAAGTTTCCTAGACGAATTTGTTTTAATTATAAAATAAAAATAATAATGTATTATCTAATGCTAGGTATTACAAAGCTTGAATCCAACTCGAACTTGATTATCTGCAAATTGAGTTTGAGGATTTAGTGGACCAAGCTTGAGTAGCTCACGAATAGGAGCCCAACCCTAGGCTCGCTTACACCTCTTATCCATAGTCATGATCTGATTGCTTGGGATGGTTGAGTATTTTGAGAAGTATAGCCAAACTCATATTTTCTTGTTTTTCTCTCTCCTCTTCTTCTACATCCTTCCTACCCAAAGCAAAAGTGAACCAAAATTTACACTTTGTTTGATTTGTGTTCCCATGCATTTGTATTAATGCAAATAAAATTGCACTGCAAACAAACATAGCCTAAGGCTTGAGCTCAGTTTGTTTACAATGCAAGTTTTATTTGCACTAAAGTAAATATAGGGGAGTGCAAGAGGGATGAGTGCAAATTCTTCAAAGTTGATTTTGTATTGTTTGTTTATGATAAATAAAAGGGTAAAAGACTTAAATATACCATAAATTGACTTATACGTGCCCACAGTTTTTCAAATAAACTTAAATATACCTTGTGACTTTTACCTTTCATTTTCTTTTAAATTTTTAAAATATATTCTCCGCTTTTCAAACTCATGTGGATGGCAGGCATATGGGGATCCCCCTCTCTCTCCTTTCATGTGGGTGGTGGTTGGAGTTTACTGCAAGCTTGTAAACTCCACGTTTCAATCTTAACGCTTTAAAGCCTATTAAACTTCTGTTTCAATCTTGTAACCCATTTATGTTTAAGCTTTAACTCTTGTGAATTGAAAAGCTCTGTTTTACTAGTTTTGCCTTGCATTTTTGTGCGAGATCAAGTTGAAGTTTTGAAAGATTTAAACTTCAATTACCCCCTAAAATGCAAAGGACACATAATTATGTTCAAACCAATTATTTACTTCTTTATTACTTGGAGCATGATTCAGTTAAACAGAAATGGGCCTGAACTCCAATATCACCAGAGGATGAAAGAAACGGTGGAAAGCTCTGTACCAAAGAGGAAACCAAAGTTTCCTGAATCATGGTTATTCCTCATTCATTTTGGGGAAGAGGATGTCTAATGGCAGTTTAGCTTTTGATTATGTTACACATCCTGATTAATTCAATGTGGTACAATCATTCTTCATTAAATGAGCTAGAATTTTCCCAATTAGGTCCCATATGTTAAAAAGGAATAGAAAGGACAAAAAAGAATTTTAAAAATTTAAAATGAATTTACAGGTGACTGTTTTATGATAGAGGGTATGTTTAAGTCTAATGGATCATCCCACAAGGAACATTTTAAGTCTGAAAAACCCAAGATATGTTTTAAATCAATTTATAAAAACTAAGGGTATGTTCAAGTTTTTTAATTACCTTAAATAAAATATGAAGTAAAATGATGCAATCATCACTTTATGTAAAAGAGAATGGAGACAAGATGAAAGACGACTGTTTCAGAGTAAAAGTAGGATGTGAAATGATGTGATCTCCACTAATGATAGAGAATCAACGTAGGAGGAAGGCGGCTCAAATTTTGCATCAGCTTTGTAGATAAAAAATTTGCAATACCAACAGGTGCAAATGAGAAAAAAAATGCAAATCTTTTAGAAGGTTGAACCGCAAATCATAATCACAAATAATGGATGCAAAGTTGAACCAGTTACAAATTTTCCATCCGGTTCAGATAAAAACTGCAAACAGAGCCTAAACATTGCTTTTCAGGTGGGCGCTTCGTCCAAAATGGGCACTTAACAGATTTCAAATTTTATCTATTTATCATACAAGAACATAAAGGCACTGAATAACATTAGCAACCAACGAACATCACCAAGCTGTTGAGAACCGATAAGAGGCGTAAGAAAGAGAACCCATACTCCAGCTATGGTGGATAAGTTCTGCATCGGCATTTTCACCTGTGGCTCCTAGAGCCACATGCAAAGGGTACAAATGGTCTGGCCGTGGATGAGCCATTTCCGCCCTGGGTGCTTTCACCATGTAGTGATTCACGTCTTCATGTCTGTAAATAGTTCGTCAGGGAAAACCAGAAAGAAACCATTCTTAAAGAAGACATTATAAATGCCATGACTAAATCTGGTTAGTTACTACTTAACAATGGTAATTTTTGATGAATGCAAATTACCTTCCGTCTATGAGAGATTCTTTGAGCCATGTATCGAAGTTCAGTGCCCAAGGAACAGCCGAGACATCATTAAATTGAAGGGCCCTCAAGTTATGTGTGGCACTTCCAGAACCAATTATCAGGACCCCTTCGTCTCTCAAAGGGGCCAATGCCTTGCCCATTTTGTAGTGATAGGTTCCATCCTGATTTGTTTGGATGGAAAGCTGACATATTGGGATATCAGCTTCTGGGTACATGAGCATGAGCGGGACCCAAGCACCATGGTCAAGCCCACGAGCATTGTCTTCCATTACATGTTTGAAGCCAGCCTCTGTAAGCAATTCCTTCACTCTCTTTGCCAAGTGAGGTGCGCCTGGTGCCGGGTACTTTAGCTGGTAATGTCATGATGGGAGTTAGAGTTTGTTTATAAAGTGTAATAAATTCATAAGATTGCTCAATCACAGAACATGAATTCTTTACTTTTACTAATTGTCCACTTATTGCATATCAAGGCCATTACAACCACGACCCATTAAATGTATCAAATGTTTTACCAAACAAAATGTAGGCTTAATTGGCAAGTTATGGTGCCTTTGACTTTCGGTTGTACAACTATACATTCAACATCCAATTTTGTGGCCCTCTGATCGGTTTTGCTTGAGAGAACTCAGTTACCTACCTGCCCATGAAGCCATCAGTGGATGACCCAACTGCCCTGTTTTTACAAACAATTATGATATTGAATTTACTACAAGCTGCACAGCCAAAAGGTCCCATGCTAACGGACGGATCAGATTATCAGAATTCAAAAATATCACATTGTTTACGATTATTTCTAAAGAAAGTTTCCAAAATGGGAACCATCTGTCATGGGCGCTCTGTAATAGGGAGAATACCAAACGCAATAGCAAGGGAAAATGAAGAGGATCCCACTAACATGTTCTTTGACAGATACCTGTATCAGCCCTAGAGGTGTAAATCGGGTCGTGCTACCTGTGGCCTGGCACGATTTTCGACTAGCCCAGCACAACAGCACATGAGCCGTGCTAGACCAGGGGTTTCAGGTCCATGGACCAGCATGGCATAATTGTGCATACCATGCCGCCTGTGTGTCAGCATGGCCCAGCACGTGGTACAGCCCGCAACAGGCCAAGTGCAGCCCGTTCAAGAAACTAGCCGTTGGGGCCCTTGAGGCACCCCCCAAACGGCTAGTTTCAGCTCTTTTAGGGGTTTTTACAGAAATACCCCCTCAATCAATAGCTATAAGCCTATAAACAACTATATGGAGGGTATTTATGTATTTTGGCTTTAGGGGAAAAAGACAATAATGCCCCTCTAATAACTATATCTTATATAGCAGTTAGTTTGGGACTTTGGGGGCATTTGAGTAAAGTGATAAATGACTTTATAATGACCAAAATACCCTCCAAATCTCAACAACTAAAAAACGACTAGTTTTTAAGGTATTTTAGGCAATTGAATTATTTTCAATTCCTATAAATAGTCATATCCTCCACCATTCTCATCACACCAATTCAGCAATTCTCTTCTCAATTCTCATACTCTCTCAGTCTCTCATCCCATATAGTCTCATACTATCACAAACTTTGTAATTTAGGAGGAGGTTTTGAGGCTTCAACCGTTGAAATCAAGTTGAGATTTTGAACTGATAATCCAATCATCTGGGTAAGTGCAATTAGGTTAATTTTTATTTTTTAGAATTAAAAAAAATGGCCGGCTCCACTCCTCAAAACCAATTCCCCAACATTAAGTTCACTACTTCACTAGCCCGATTTGGAAAATATTTAAATTAGAGGAGGTTGAGGGAAAGGGAAAAAGATTCGTTTGCCAAAAAAGTAGGATTGGCTTTAGCTTCAGTAGTAAGGGTAGTACTGGCCACTTGGGCGGACATTTGCTATTCCATGAGAAACAAGAAAAAGACATCTACTTTAAAGATATGCTTGATGCTGAGGATAAATTACAAGATAAAGGAGGGCATAAACACTTACTACACCTGATGAAGTAGATGATTAAAGTCAAGGAGATGGAGTAATTTTTTCAATTTTATTTAAATTATTTCAACAATGTAATTTTTATTTTCAATTTGTAATTTTTTATATTTTAAATGAAAAAAATCCTATTTTTTTCCAATTTGTTGTCCATTTTGTATTTTGGCAAGTATTTTTTTCATTTCTTTGTTAGATTTTTTTTCAATTTGTTCCAAAAGAAAGTTAAGTATTTTAGTTTTACTAAACAAAAAATTTAAATATCAAAAAAACAGTCTGGGCCTTTTTGGCCCGATCCGGCCCAATCCATAACCCCGCCCGACCCAGACCCACTACATGACATGACATGGGCCCGCACAGGCTCGTGACGTGGGTTGTGCCAAATTGACCCCCAAAAATCCCAGGGGAGGGGAGCATGGACCGACATGGGCCACATGCGGGCCGAACCAGCATGGCCCGATTTACACCTCTAATCAGCCCCCAAGAAGCATTCACAACACCCTTCAACAACTTTTGACAACTGAATAAAATTTGAAGGGGCATATCAGGAAAGTAAATTACAATAGTTCCAACAAGTATGAGAGAGACACCAACTTCCCATATTTTGACACCTAGAACATGGATGGGGGGATACCTGATACATGGGCTTAGGAAAGCCATAGAAATCATAGATGGTATTATGGGGCCCAGAGATGACATTAACAGTAGGTACAGAGGTTTCCCAATGACCAGAGATGACCAGAATTGACTTCGGTCTCGGTGTGAATATCTTCTTCTGCCATGATTTCAAAAAATGTCGTGCTGGTAGTGAATCATCAATTGATAGCATTGGCGATCCATGAGATATGAAGAATGTATCCATGACTCGATTCTGTGATGATCTCTCACTCTTATGAAGAAGAACCAAGTGAGAAACACAAGCAAATAAAGTGATGAGAACTAGAAGAGTGCAAAAGCTCACAGCCATGTCTATGGATTCAAAAGAACGAGGCAGGGCTTGTGTAATAGTTTTGGAACTTGGAGAAGAAGGATCTATGACTTAGATAGGCACTTTGTTGTTGAACTAGTTGAGCCACTGGAAAGTTGGTTCAAAAACTGCTGGTACCCAACAAGTTCCACCTCAGATCATCTGTGTTTCCAGAAAAACAGAAGACTATTAAACCACTTAGGCTTGCATACAACCTTCTCTCTCAGAATATAAGAAGGAAATAGAACATGTAGGAGGTTTAAATTAGCCCTTAGAACCTTCAGTTAAACCTCATTTTGATTATAGGACAAAAAAAAAAAAAACAGAAACACAGCCACATATGCAAAGGACAAAACTATGCAGTCTATGCTTGGTAAGTTATAAAAGAGCACCAAACTAGACAGCTACATGCAAGCAGGCAATGAACTGGAAAATAAAAACAATTTGCATTTAGCTAGAAATACAGAAACACAAATTTCTAGGCTACTTGCACATGCACCATAGACTGAGGTAGATCATGAAAAAACATATTAGAAACTTGAGGTTAATTGAAACACATCCATGTAGAAAAGAAAACAAGCAGTACACACCTGAAGGAAAAGGTTGAGATAACACAAAATGTAATTTCAAACCACCCCCCCACCCCCACCCCAAATTCACAAGAAAAAAAAAAAGAATAAGAGGAAAAAAACTCTAGAGCTGTATTGAAGCTCAAAGAGTATGACACAGGAGATTCAACATGTGCCTGCACTTGGAAGAGCAAAGAAACAAAAGGAAATCAGGCCAAACCAAATATTAGTTCTCCAATTGTCAATTCTGTGCATCAAGGGGAAATATTAATGGATGAAGAAAAAATATATTAATTTCTGAAAAAAGGATGTACTGATAGGCGTTTGATTCCTAGAAGCTTTCTGATTCAAAACAAACTTGAAATGACAGGTACAAATTAATAAAATAGAGGATTAACATTACTTCCTCTTCAACTGTTTTGGGAAAAAGAAATGCCAAGCAGAAAGTCGGTGATACAACTGTTTGAGCAACTGTCCAACTTGAAGGTTAACCTTGGGAAAAGCTGTGTAGTGGGGGTGAATTTGGAGGAGGGAGAGATCAGGGAGAGTGCTGAAGTGCTGGGGTGTGAAGTCACGGGGTGGCCTCTGAACTATTTAGGATTACCATTAGGTGATAATCCCAAGAGAGAGAGCTTCT